TCTATCTATCTATCTATCTATCTATCTATCTATCTATCTATCTATCTATCTATCTATCTATCTATCTATCTATCTATCTATCTATCTATCTATCTATCTATCTACTATCTATCTATCTATCTATCTATCTATCTATCTATCTATCTATCTATCTATCTATCTCTATCTATCTATCTATCTATCTATCTATCTATCTATCTATCTATCTATCTATCTATCTATCTATCTATCTATCTATCTATCTATCTATCTATCTATCTATCTATCTATCTGAAATAATGATTTTAACCAAGTTCAGTAGACTTCGTACTTTGGCCAAGGGAGACTGGCAAATTTTAAATTTTCTCGACCTGATGCGTGTGCATAAGCTTTATGTGGTCACACAGTATTACGGACATAACTTAATGGATTGAATTTCTGAGTTTATTAACCTTGGTCGATTTAGATAGTATGTATGTATACCTATAACAACTCTACGAAATAAACATAAGAGACAGGTTGCGATAGTGCGTATATAAAAATTCGCATAGCCCTATATATCATTTGTTAACTTGTTTGTCGAGACCCCTGAGTTTTACATATTTATATTGATTCTGTTAACCTTCCACCATAAATCTAAAACTTACATATTTTCGATTGCATTTGTAGATTTTTCTTCAATTTATTTTCATACTCATGGAAAAATTCATCATTTTTACTCCAGATTATCACGTAATGCTGGAAAAACCCATAATACAAGGAACGTTTCATACGAGCCAATGTTGTGTAGTTATTTTCCGGTGGCAGTGTGCTTTCAATCATTTGAAATTTACTCATAATATTATTGCCAATCTGTATGGTAGCTTGACGTAATTTATAAAATTCTTTTTCTGAAATGAGATTATAAAATAATAGGAGAATTTTTCGAATGATTTTAAAAATAGAAAACAATAATTATTACAATAGAATTGTAATTGAAAGAGTCACGTAATTGTTTTGTAAAATTGAACATATTTTCATATTGATTAAATGTGTAATTAAGTACAATTCACGTGTTGTAAGCAATTTTTAAAATGTTGGCCAGCAAACATTTAGGTTGATCATTTGGTATGGACCATTTAAATATTTCACATTTATTTGATTTAATATTTTTGCATTTTAAATACTTACCTTTAAAATTTTTGGCATTTTTGGCTTGAGTCATTATTTTCATCGTTTCGATATTCTGTAATATTTGTTCGATTTCAAGGAGTATTTCATTGTACTGTTTGAAAAAAATATCAAAAAGAAGTTTTTAAATTATGCGATGATATGTTTGTTTAATATATAAATCTAATAATAATCTAATACAGTTCAAAGTGCTGGTATAGATGTTTTAAGGGACAAAATTACTCACTATATTAAGTATCGCCAATATGTTTTGCAAAATTTGGAGAAATATTTTAAAAAAATTACATAAGCTTATGAAATTATTGCCTCTTGAAAAAAATTATAAGTGTAGTTCCCCTTTTACTACATTAAACAATAAATAATACCCCAAAATATATAGATATTTTATATGAATCCCCATTTATTTAAGAAAAATACATAAATCAAACATTTTTTGTATAATATACATATATTCATTTCCGTTTGAAAACTTGTTGGAGTTAAGAAAACAAAAAGTATGATTAACAAGTTAGAGTTCTATATTCGGATATGCTGAATCTTAAATATCTTTCACCTATTAACATGTTGACCATTTACATATATAAATTTGGAATGTTTATTTAAGCTTTCCAAATAATGGACCGATCCAGAAAAAGTGTTGCAGAATGATTTGCATACATATGTATGTATATACCGAACATATTCGTGAGGTATTATGTCTATATCATTATTTATTAATGAGTTATTTATTGATTTTCGGAAGGGGACTTTATATAGGAGCTATGACCAATTATTGACCTATCCGGAAAATAAATTCGCAGACTAGTTTGTTTATATGCAGAACACATTCGGGTAGAATTTTATCACAATATCATAATTAAGTAATGAGTTGTTATTTGCGATTAAGAGATTTTTAGAAGAGAGCTTTGTTTGGGAGCTACATATGACCAGTTATATGTAGATCGGAAAAAATTTTCATACATTCTAGACAAATTTTATTCTGATATCAATATTAGTTCATGAGTTATTTACGATTAAGTGATTTTATGGAAATGCACTCTATATGGGGGTTATGGTCAATTATGGATCGATCCGGAAAAAATTCGCAGAGTGATTTGTATACATATTGGTGTAGAATTTTTTATCAATATCATAGTTAAGTAATAAGTTATTTACGATTAAGTGATTTTCCGAAGAGGGCTTTATACGGGAGCTATGGCCAATTAAGGGCCGATCTTGAAAAAATGTCACAGAACGATTTTTATAAACCATATTCAGATAAAATTCTGTCCCGGTAGCATTATTAACTCATTAGTTTTATACATTTAAGTGATTTTCAAAAGATGCCTTTTTATGGTCAATTATGAACCGATTCGGAAAAACTTTCGGAGTATGATTTGTATATATTATAAAACATATTCGAATAAAATTTTATTCCGATATCAAAATTAAGCAATGAGTTCATTACGATTAAGTCATTTTCGAAAGAGGACTTTATATGGGAGCTATGAACAAATCTGGACCGTTCGGAAAAAAAATTAGCTGAATAAATTATGTATGTACATAACATATTTGCGTTAAATTTTATCCCGATATGTTGATTTGTTAATGAATTATGTTCGTGTAATAGATTTTCGAAAGTAGAACTTTTATGGGAGCTATGGTCCAAAATGGACCGATACAGGTTTTAATTGGTAATACAATAATTACTGAAATTAGATTTATCTACAAAATGTTATGGTAATACAAATATTATAGTGGAAGTTATTAACAATAAATCCATTTTCCCGGGGTTTAATATTTGGTAGGAGCTATATTAAATTTTGAACCGATTCCAATATTTTTCAACCACGTTAATCCCAGGACGAAAGAAATTACTTGTGACAATATTTGTGGAAATAGCTGCTATAGTTTCTGAAAAATTAAGTGTTCTACTCGTAAGCATGGCTTATAAAATTATTGAAGATTTGGATTTCGCAGATATCTAGGGTCTTCTGAAAGCTGATTTCAACAGTCAGTCGCAGTTATCGATTCTGCAAGGCATTAGGTTTAGTTCCTCTCCATAATGTTTTTCTTTATATATGATTTTAAAAATTCTTATTTTCAAATATTATTTTTTGTAATCCAACATTTAAAGAGTCCACTGTATTATCGTTATAAACCAAATTATGAAATGAGACTTCAATTTGCATGCACTTGCAAATTAATTTTGATAGCTGAATAGCAACAATACAAATAGAAATATTATCCAAATGTTATGGTTTCAATTGAAAATAAGTTTTTATAATTGAAACCAGTAGTTTTGGGGTGAATGTCCCAAAATATACATATGCATTTGTAAAACTGTTGGGAACTAGTTTTTTGAAATTAATTTCAGATACCATTTCCAATTGTTAATCAGAAATTTTAATATTTTTGAACAACATACAGCGAAACTTTTATCTAAAACGTTTAAAAAGGAAAGGACATATTTCAGAATCTTAAACAGAAATCTTGGAACAACTGGAGCCGCTAATACTGCAATAACTTCAGTTTATAGTTAGTGTGTGTTTTTATTAATTCTTAAAAGTTTTAAACAAATTTGTATAAATAAGTAAACATATTTGGATCTTGAAGATATCAGGGTTCTTCCCGAAAGTGCATACTATCAGATGGACACCGCTTAATTCACTTCGTTATCTATAAGGATTCAGAATACGTATATATGTATATATACTTTATTGAATCGCAAATTGAATGCAAGTACGTAAATCTTTTTTGGATTCAATCTTTAACTAGTTTAGAGCTGTTCCTAAAAATATATATTAATTTTCTAAGTCCCGTTATCTCAACCTCCGGTTGTCGTTTAACCGATTAAAATAATTTATGTATGAAAACTATCAATCTAACGTTTCGGCAAAATATAACCAGACAATGAGAAAATGGATTAAATTGAACTGGTTCAAGACCTTTCTATAGAATGCTTCATATAATTTTCACTGATTATTGGAAGACCAAAGGGAAATACTGAAAAAAAAACTTAGCTACACAATTCCGAAATAAAACTGGAAATTTTCTTAAATTTACCAGGAAATGGTGTAGTTCTGTTTGTTTTTGAAATAGTTTTTATTATGTTCCTAATGTCTGCTGGGATCTTTTTTGTTTACGAAAATTATATATACAATTAGTTTTTTATATCTTGGCAAAACACGTGAGAGCTATCTAAAACAAAAAGTGAGAGATCTAAAAGAGAAAAAAACTAACGGTAATATCGCTATTTTTAAACTACTTTAAAATTCTTACAAATATTATAAAAAGCATCTGAAATACTTTCCGGTTTTACTTAAGTAGCTAGAGATCATATTTGACCAACTTTTTTCAAGTGGTGTTTCAGGTTTTTTGCATTCTTTTGTTTATATTTTTGTTAAAATTTAATAAAAATTCATTAACAAAAAGTAGTTCCATATAAATATAGGGTATACAAACATTTTACCTAAATCATGACGTTTTGTTGGCTCTTAATTGGTTTAAATAAATATTTTGAATTTATTTATTGTTTTGTATGTGTTTTTTTGTTATTTATTATTGTTTATGCTCTCTTTAACTTAAAATAATTAAATGTTTTTACTCTCATACTTTCACATTTTAAAATTCTTCTCACATTATCACTGGCGCACTCAATCTCGCTCTCTATATCTAAATGATCTTTTTTTGAATTTTGTATTTATACTTACCATTTTGAGTAAAGCATCCATTACCGGACTATGCGAACGAACTACTTCTTCTTCTACATCCTCCATTTCAATTAGAACCAGGGATTCGGTAGAAGCGTGGAATGTACAACCCACCTACACACATGTACGCACAATTTAAAGAATTTACTAAGTGGCCACAGATCTATTTTTAAGTTTATTTAAATTAAGAACTTACCTCTTTAAGTTCTGGCAAACGATCACGAATCATGTTTATTATTTATTTTAATTTTATTTTAGTCTATTTCTTTTTATTAAATCTAAAAATACTGTTCGATCATTTGTCATGTATTGTATGACAAAATTATTGTTATTTGACTCATACAGAAACTAATTAATTATTTATTAATTTTTTCTTTCACCACTCACAGTTTGTTTAAACCGCGTTTGTTGTCGAATTTGTTTGCAATTATTTGTTGTTTTAGGTAGATTATGAAATTAATTTAATTTATTTTCTTTCATCTCATCTCACAATGTTGTTTTACTTGGCACAGATGGGAATAAACTAAAAAACTGTTTGAGTGTCTACAGATTTGTTTCTTCTCAATAAGAAAAATACAAAAAAAAAAATAAATAAAAGCCCAATAAATAAATAATGTTTGTATTTGTATTATATGGTTATTATTATAAGTTGTATGTTTAAAAAAAAACCGCAAACAGTATCGGTAGTTAAAATTGCTACGCCTTGGGAATACCCTTACGTTTAAATCATTCACAATAAGTTTACTCCAACTTAAATACAATGTAGTTATTTGCAAAAAGTACGATCATTAAAGAGCTAATTTCTTTCTCTAAAGATCTATTTGTTTACTTCTTTATCTCGATCTCGATAAGATATGAAACATGTTAAAAAGATACTAATTAACACAGGTTAACAAAATCTGAAAGTAGGCGAAACCCAGAAAAAGTTGAAAGCCTTATTTTAAAGTCCTCAATATTTTTTGGCCTATGTATTTTCCAAAATTTTCGGTTTAAGATAAATGTTTTAGCAAAGTGTTGGAATACATAACTTATTTGTTTTAAAGTGTATCGACTCTATAAAAAGCTGGAATTCAATTATGTCACGACTACACAAGGGTATTCCCCAGAAATGGGAAACGATTTTTATACCCTACACCACTTTAGTGGGGAGGGTATATTGGATTTGTGCTGATGTTTGTAACGCACAATAATATTGGTCCTATACCCATCTTAAAGTATACCAATCGGCATAGAATCATTTTCTGAGTCGATTTAGCTATGCCCGTCCGTCCGTCTGTCCGTCTGTCCGTCCATGTAAACCTTGGAATCAAACTACAGGTCGCAATTTTGAAGATAATCCAATGAAATTTGGCACATGATCTTCTATTGTCCCAGGGACGAAGCCTATTGACAATGGTTAATATCGGTCCATTATTTCACATAGCCCCAATACAACTGAACCCCCGAATAGGGCTTGTAAACCTTGTAATCAAACTACAGGTCGCAATTTTGAAGATAATTCAATGAAATTTGGCAGATGATCTTCTATGGTACCGGAGACGAAGCCTACTGAAAATGGTTAACATCGGTCCATTATTTCACCTAGACCCCATACAACTGAACCCGACAAATAGGGATTTTAAATTTATAATTATGTTTAATATACTCGCATCTCGACAAAAAGCTGCAAAACCAAGTTCTGTACTAGCCTTGATGACTCTCATGAATTTTATAATCATAGGGTCTCATTTGACCATAGCCCCTATACAAATCCCCTTTCAAAATTTGACTTAAATGTCCACAATTTTATTCAACAATAAATGGCTTAAGTATAATTCAAGGCAAGGTGCAATTCAACTTAAGTGCTTTATTATGAAAACAAAATCACATTTCATTTTTGTAACAGGTGTAGGGTATTATATGATCGGCCTCGCCCGACTATAATTTCTTACTTATTTTTTTTAATGTTGACTGCTTATTTTATTGTAAGAAATGGAAGTGTTAATCAGTAATCATATACATACTATGTATGTACATTACAGTGCTCCAAGCTTGTATAAAGGAAAATAATTATTCTTTGGGTTGTAAAACTATATCATGCAAAAAATTAAGTTGATATGATAACGTTAGATGTACTTGCGATTTGAACTCGTCGGGTTTCGGGAAAATCCCATTTTTTAATATTTTACAGTAAACCTCTCAATTCTTTACTGATGAACATTTTAAATAAGTTATTTCAGAGTACAATAGTTCAGATAATATAAAACATTTGTATCTTAGAAGTTTTATTCAAATCGGACAATATTAAACCATAAACTGTAGAGTTCAAAGGTCAAATTTTGCTATTATTTGTTATTTGTCCGATTATAGTTTATTTAAAATGTACATCAGTTAAGAATTAAGACGTATTCTCTAAAATATTGAGATGCTCTAACAGCATTCTGTTTTCAGATCCCAGCTTTGGGATTTTAGAACATGTAAAATTTTGAATAATAGTGTCCATTCAGAATACGTGTCCACTTAGAAAACCTACCATAATAACCCCAGACGTACTATAATTTAACATTATCACCCGATATTAGGGATGCCAAACGGGACTGGCTTTTACAAATCCCGGGATTCGGGATTTTGAAAATTGCAATCCCGGGATCCCGGGATATTTCGGGATCCCGGGATTTTTCGGGATCCCGGGATTTTTCGGTATTTCGGGATTTTACGGGATTTCGGGATTACATGAATTTAATTATTTTATATATGAAAATCTTTAAATCATCATATTTGTAAAGAAAATTGTTTAATTTTGTGGAAATTTAACAGACAGAAGATATATTTAAATTAAAACAATCCAATTAATTCCAATTTTTAAATAAAAACTTTCAGAATTGCATAATTTCTGAAACTTTTTAAATACATACTTACTTCCTAAATAAAAATAAATATCAAGTTCCGAAATTAGACATAAGCACTTTTTAAAACCTCATACTGTTCCATGTGAACTAATAATTATAACAGATACCAATTCAATTATTCGAACATCAATTTAGAACCTATTCTTTGAAAAATATTTGGAATTTTACTCAAAATACATATTAGTTTTGGAACATATTATTATATTCGTAGTATTAATTTAAAATTTTAGGTGCATTCAGAACAAGGTAATTTACCTTTACCGGTATCATTCAGATTTGTAGAAAGTTAGAAATGTAAAATCCTCTAGTATTGAAAAATAAAGTTTGTATTCGACTGTGCCGAAATTAAATACCCACCATCAAAATATTGTAATGTATTGATATTAATATCAGCATCAATGTGATTTTCAGAGGAGGTCCAATTAGGTTTTCTTGTGTCAATTTTGGTCCAGATTTGCAGCCCAAATAGAATGAGTCTTCTAACTCGTGTTTTCAGCTTGCAGACACAGAATGTGTATACTTTTTGGGTCGGTCTACGACCAACATTGCAATGTGCTAACAAGTAAAAAGTTATAGTTGGGCGAAGCCTACCATATAATACCCTACACCAGTTATAAAAATAAAATGTGATTTATTGTTCATAATAAAGCATCTAAGTTGAATTGTACCTTGCCTCAGATATAATTTAGCTATTTTTTGTTGAATAAAATTGTGTACATTTAAGTCATATTTCGAAGGGGGCTTTGCATAGGGGCTAGGGTCAAATGAGGCCGCATCATCAAAAAATACATCAGGGTCATGAAGGCTAGTATAGAACTTGGTTTTGCAGCTTTTTGTCGAGTTACGAGTATATTGAACATAATTATGAACTTAAAAACCCTATTTGGGGGGTTCAGTTGTATGGGGGCTAGGTCAAATATTGGACCGATGTTATCCATTTTCAATAGGATCCGTCTCTAGTACAATAGAAGATCATGCCAAATTTCATTGAATTATCTTCAAAATTGCTGTAGTTTGATTACAAGGTTTACACGGACGGACGGACAGACGGACGGACATAGCTAAATCGACTCAGAAAATGATTCTGAGCCGATTGGTATACTTTAAGGTATAGGACCAATATTATTGTGTGTAACAAACATCAGCACAAACCCAATATACCCTCCCCACTAAAGTGGTGTAAGGTATAAAAACGAAGTGAATAAATAAATTTATATGTGCTATGTGTATGGACTCATACCACTTTAAAAAATAAAAGGTTCAAATATGTATAAAATTAGCTCTGCGGAATTTTGTTTTGCATGAGTCAAAAATAAAATAAGATCGTAATTTTCAAATTAATGAAAATTATGGCTCAAAAAAAGAAAATAAAAACAGTTTTTTGAAACAAATCCTAATCCCGAAAAAATCCCGGGATTTACTTTCCAAATCCCGGGATTCGGGATTTGCCAATCCCGAAAAATCCCGGGATTTTCGGGATCGGGATTTCGGGATTGGCATCCCTACCCGATATCGACCTAAGTGCCTGCTGGATGTTGGGTCTAAGGGTTTCGATCCTGAAACACACATAAATCATACGGTAAATTTATAAAAACAAAGCAAAGAACGAACATCATGTTACGAATGATGCCACTGTGTTGTTATTAGGGATGCCAATCCCGAAATCCCGATCCCGAAAATCCCGGGATTTTTCGGGATTGGCAAATCCCGAATCCCGGGATTTGGAAAGTAAATCCCGGGATTTTTTCGGGATTAGGATTTGTTTCAAAAAACTGTTTTTATTTTCTTTTTTTGAGCCATAATTTTCATTAATTTGAAAATTACGATCTTATTTTATTTTTGACTCATGCAAAACAAAATTCCGCAGAGCTAATTTTATACATATTTGAACCTTTTATTTTTTAAAGTGGTATGAGTCCATACACATAGCACATATAAATTTATTTATTCACTTCGTTTTTATACCTTACACCACTTTAGTGGGGAGGGTATATTGGGTTTGTGCTGATGTTTGTTACACACAATAATATTGGTCCTATACCTTAAAGTATACCAATCGGCTCAGAATCATTTTCTGAGTCGATTTAGCTATGTCCGTCCGTCTGTCCGTCCGTCCGTGTAAACCTTGTAATCAAACTACAGCAATTTTGAAGATAATTCAATGAAATTTGGCATGATCTTCTATTGTACTAGAGACGGATCCTATTGAAAATGGATAACATCGGTCCAATATTTGACCTAGCCCCCATACAACTGAACCCCCCAAATAGGGTTTTTAAGTTCATAATTATGTTCAATATACTCGTAACTCGACAAAAAGCTGCAAAACCAAGTTCTATACTAGCCTTCATGACCCTGATGTATTTTTTGATGATGCGGCCTCATTTGACCCTAGCCCCTATGCAAAGCCCCCTTCGAAATATGACTTAAATGTACACAATTTTATTCAACAAAAAATAGCTAAATTATATCTGAGGCAAGGTACAATTCAACTTAGATGCTTTATTATGAACAATAAATCACATTTTATTTTTATAACTGGTGTAGGGTATTATATGGTAGGCTTCGCCCAACTATAACTTTTTACTTGTTAGCACATTGCAATGTTGGTCGTAGACCGACCCAAAAAGTATACACATTCTGTGTCTGCAAGCTGAAAACACGAGTTAGAAGACTCATTCTATTTGGGCTGCAAATCTGGACCAAAATTGACACAAGAAAACCTAATTGGACCTCCTCTGAAAATCACATTGATGCTGATATTAATATCAATACATTACAATATTTTGATGGTGGGTATTTAATTTCGGCACAGTCGAATACAAACTTTATTTTTCAATACTAGAGGATTTTACATTTCTAACTTTCTACAAATCTGAATGATACCGGTAAAGGTAAATTACCTTGTTCTGAATGCACCTAAAATTTTAAATTAATACTACGAATATAATAATATGTTCCAAAACTAATATGTATTTTGAGTAAAATTCCAAATATTTTTCAAAGAATAGGTTCTAAATTGATGTTCGAATAATTGAATTGGTATCTGTTATAATTATTAGTTCACATGGAACAGTATGAGGTTTTAAAAAGTGCTTATGTCTAATTTCGGAACTTGATATTTATTTTTATTTAGGAAGTAAGTATGTATTTAAAAAGTTTCAGAAATTATGCAATTCTGAAAGTTTTTATTTAAAAATTGGAATTAATTGGATTGTTTTAATTTAAATATATCTTCTGTCTGTTAAATTTCCACAAAATTAAACAATTTTCTTTACAAATATGATGATTTAAAGATTTTCATATATAAAATAATTAAATTCATGTAATCCCGAAATCCCGTAAAATCCCGAAATACCGAAAAATCCCGGGATCCCGAAAAATCCCGGGATCCCGAAATATCCCGGGATCCCGGGATTGCAATTTTCAAAATCCCGAATCCCGGGATTTGTAAAAGCCAGTCCCGTTTGGCATCCCTAGTTGTTATTGACTAGAAACAGGATTAAGTGAGAACCTATAAAGGGGACTTGCTACTTTTTCGTTCTTCAAAAGGTACTTTTTGAATTTTCTCTAATATTCAACCTATAATCATCCGGGCATGTAGAGCCCGGATTAAGTGAGAACCTATAATAATGAAATTTAGCATGTAGAGCTCGGATTAAATGAGAACCTATAAAAGGGGGCTTCTTGGTAATTTTTCGTTCTACAGAAAGTACTTTTTGAATTTTCTCTAATATTGAACCTATAGTCATGAAATTTAGCATGTAGAGCTCGGATTAAATGAGAACCTATAAAAAGGATCTATTTGGAACTTTTTCGTTCTTCAAAAGGTACTTTTTAAACATGAAATTAGGCATGTAGAGCCCATATCATGTGAGAACCTATATAAGGGGACTTTTTGGTACTTATCGTTCTTTAAAAAGGTACTTTTTGAATTTTTGTATAATATTGAACATAGAAACATGAAATTAAGCATGTAGAGCCCTGATTATAGATAGAGCCCTATAAAAGGGGACTTTGTGGTACTTTTTTGTTCTACAAAAGTTACTTTTTGAATTTTCTATAATATTGAACCTAGAAACATGAATTTAAGCATGTAGAGCCTAGATTATGTGAGAACCTATAAAATGGGACTTTTTGGTACTTTTTTTGTTCTACAAAAGGTACTTTTTGAATTTTCTATAATATTGAACCTAAAAACATGAGCATGGAGTAAATGAGAACTTATAAAAGGGAATTTTGGGTACGTTTTCGTTCCTCAAAAGGTACTTTTTGAATCTTCTATAATATTGAACCTAGAAACATGAAATTTAGTGAGCGGGAACATATAAAAGGGGACTTTTTAGTACTTTTTCCTTCTTCAAAGGATTTGCGGTACTATTTCGTGCTGTGACTGGAACTTTTTGGCTTTTATGTTTTGTGTTTCGTTCTTAAACACATCATGGTGAAGGGTATATAAGATTCGGCACAGCCGAATATACAACTCTTATTTGGTTCTAATCCAGTTTACACATTCCTTTATTTTTATAGACTTTGACCAGGAAACTAGTATTGTCTCCATTTTAGACATTTCTATAACGTCTTAGATACTTTTAACGCCTTATCGCGCTTTATGTGTTTTTGAACTACATCGTGGCGGTTAATTCCCTCAATTGTTTACAGCGCTGAATACCAATTTATTTTAGTCAGAATAATAACAGGTTTGTTAATATTTAAACCAAATTACCAGTATGAAAACCAAAATGTTCTTTGTTAATAAATAAAATGCACAGAATTTGTTTATCTCATTGAAATTATGTGGAAAAATATTGTTGTTTTATGCAAATAAATTGCAACTTTAAAAAAAAAAGAAGTTCAATATACACATGTTTATTTAAATGTGAAAAGGGTGTCCCAAGATTTGAACTAATAGAGTTCTGTATAGAAGAACTCATTAAACAAAAATCAATTTTACAAAGACTTTATAGCAAAATTTAATTGCACATTTTGAAACATCCTTTATTTGTTGATACAAAAAGTTTAAACAAATAAGTGATCATAAACAATTTACAATATAATTTCTTGGAAAAAATAAAGAAATACCTGAAAAGTCAATAGACTAAAAGCTCAAGATTTGTTATTATATTTCGGAAAACTTTCGAATAACTTAATCAACTTATATCATTTTAAATAATTTTATAATAAAATTTAATTATATTTTCTAAATAAACTTTCATTATTTTATTCAGTTTTAAATTTCCTTAAACGAAAGTGACACTTCCGTTTAGTATAAATTGACATTCTTTGGACTTTAATACTTTTTCTTATTTTGCACACAAATAAGTTAAATTAACTTATAACATAAAGTACTTAAATAGTTTAAAACTAAAACGAAAAATTAATTAAAAAAGACATCACAAAAATACACCAATTAAAATTAGCACCAGTAATACAACAATAGCAATTAAAATAAGCATCACCTTTTTCTAAAATTAAAAAAAAATTAAAATTAATTTATTGAATTAAATTATTAAGAAATTTCATTAACAAATTTTACCTTCAAAGCTTTTTTATGTAATTTATCAGCTTTTTCCAGTTCATCAGCACCCTTGTCCACGAACAGAGTGGCCTGTTGGGCATGGAACTCAACACGTTGTATGGTTTCACTCTAAATTACGGAAGGTCAGTTAAAATTTTTATAGATATTTTGAAAAAAAGTGTATTACCTGTTCCATAACTAAACATTGTATCCGCAAAAATAATGCATGCACTTCTTCTATGGATTTCTCTAGTTTCTTCAGTTCATTGAAACGATCCATGAGATCTTGTAGTGTTTTGCGTTCCTTTTCGGTTTCTTCTAAAATCTATATGGATAGAAATGAAATATTGGCGAAAGAAAGCTACATTAACGATAACATAATTTGTTGTCAATTTGGCAAATGTGATTTCAATACCAGAACTTACATTTCCTACAAATAGACTAGTTTGTTTATTGGCAATTAATTCTTCGATTTCTTCTTCGGTGGCATTACAATTGACTGAAAATAGAAAATGTCAACGGAAATTGATAAAAAAAATTGAATAGTTATTCCAAAACTGAACTAGAACTGAATTAGAACTGAACTAGAACTAAACTAGAACTGAACTAGAACTGAACTAGAACTGAACTGGAACTGAACTAGAACTGAACTAGAACTGAACTAGAACTGAACTAGAACTAGAACTGAACTGAGAACTGAACTAGAACTGAACTAGAACTGAACTAGAACTGAACTAGAACTGAACTAGAACGAACTAGAACTGAACTAGAACTGAACTAGAACTGAACTAGAACTGAACTAGAACTGAACTAGAACTGAACTAGAACTGAACTAGAACTGAACTAGAACTGAACTAGAACTGAACTAGAACTGAACTAGAACTGAACTAGAACTGAACTAGAACTGAACTAGAACTGAACTAGAACTGAACTAGAACTGAACTAGAACTGAACTAGAACTGAACTAGAACTGAACTAGAACTGAACTAGAACTGAACTAGAACTGAACTAGAACTGAACTAGAACTGAACTAGAACTGAACTAGAACTGAACTAGAACTGAACTAGAACTGAACTAGAACTGAACTAGAACTGAACTAGAACTGAACTAGAACTGAACTAGAACTGAACTAGAACTGAACTAGAACTGAACTAGAACTGAACTAGAACTGAACTAGAACTGAACTAGAACTGAACTAGAACTGAACTAGAACTGAACTAGAACTGAACTGAACTAGAACTGAACTAGAACTGAACTAGAACTGAACTAGAACTGAACTAGAACTGAACTAGAACTGAACTAGAACTGAACTAGAACTGAACTAGAACTGAACTAGAACTGAACTAGAACTGACTAGAACTGAACTAGAACTGAACTAGAACTAGAACCACCTTAGAACTGAACTAGAACTGAACTAGAACTGAACTAGAACTGAACTAGAACTGAACTAGAACTGAACTAGAACTGACACTAGAACTGACTAGAACTGAACTAGAACTGAACTAGAACTGAACTAGAACTGAACTAGAACTGAACTAGAACTGAACTAGACTGAACTAGAACTGAACTAGAACTGAACTAGACACTAGAACTGAACTAGAACTGAACTAGAACTGAACTCGAAATGAACTGAACTGAACTAGAACTGAACTAGAACTGAACTAGAACTGAACTAGAACTGAACTAGAACTGAACTAGAACTGAACTAGAACTGAACTAGAACTGAACTAGAACTGAACTAGAACTGAACTAGAACTGAACTAGAACTGAACTAGAACTGAACTAGAACTGAAACTAGAACTGAACTAGAACTGAACTAGAACTGAACTGAACTGAACTAGAACTGAACTAGAACTGACACTAGAACTGAACTAGAACTGAACTAGAACTGAACTAGAAGCTGAACTAGAACTGAACTAGAACTGAACTAGAACTGAACTAGAACTGAACTAGAACTGAACTAGAACTGAACTAGAACTGAACTAGAACTGAACCTAGAACTGAACTAGAACTGAACTAGACTGACTAGAACTGACTAGAACTGAACTAAACTGAACTAGAACTGAACTAGAACTGAACTAGAACTGAACTAGAACTGAACTAGAACTGAACTAGAACTGAACTAGAACTGAACTAGAACTGAACTAGAACTGAACTAGAACTGAACTAGAACTGAACTAGAACTGAAACTAGAACTGAACTAGAACTGAACTAGAACTGAACTAGAACTGAACTAGAACTGAACTAGACTGAACTAGAACTGAACTAGAACTAGAACTACTGAACTGAACTAGAACTGAACTAGAACTGAACTAGAACTGAACTAGAACTGAACTAGAACTAGAACTGAACTAGAACTGAACTAGAACTAGAACTGAACTAGAACTGAACTAGAACTGAACTAGAACTGAACTAGAACTGAACTAGAACTGAACTAGAACTGAACTAGAACTGAACTAGAACTGAACTAGAACTGAACTAGAACTGAACTAGAACTGAACTAGAACTGAACTAGAACTGAACTAGAACTGAACTAGAACTGAACTAGAACTGAACTAGAACTGAACTAGAACTGAACTAGAACTGAACTAGAACTGAACTAGAACTGAACTAGAACTGAACTAGAACTGAACTAGAACTGAACTAGAACTGAACTAGAACTGAACTAGAACTGAACTAGAACTGAACTAGAACTGAACTAGAACTGAACTAGAACTGAACTAGAACTGAACTAGAACTGAACTAGAACTGAACTAGAACTGAACTAGAACTGAACTAGAACTGAACTAGAACTGAACTAGAACTGAACTAGAACTGAACTAGAACTGAACTAGAACTGAACTAGAACTGAACTAGAACTGAACTAGAACTGAACTAGAACTGAACTAGAAATGAACTAGAACTGAACTAGAACTGAACTAGAACTGAACTAGAACTGAACTAGAACTGAACTAGAACTGAACTAGAACTGAACTAGAACTGAACTAGAACTGACTAGAACTGACTAGAACTGAACTAGAACTGAACTAGAACTGAACTAGAAACTGAACTAGAACTGAACTAGAAACTGAACTAGAACTGAACTAGAACTGAACTAGGAACTGAACTAGAACTGAAACTAGAACTGAACTAGAACTGAACTAGAACTGACTAGAACTGGAACTAGAACTGAAACTAGAACTGAACTAGACTGAACTAGAACTGAACTAGAACTGAACTAGAACTGACTAGAACTGAACTAGAACTGAACTAGAACTGACTAGAACTGAACTAGAACTGAACTAGAACTGAACTAGAACTGAACTAGACTGAAACTAGAACTGAACTAGAAACTGAACTAGAACTGAACTAGAACTGAACTAGAACTGAACTAAACTGAACTAGAACTGAACTATAGAACTGAACTAGAACTGAAATAGAACTGAACTAGAACATGAACTGAACTAGAACTGAACTAGAACTGAACTAGAACTGAACTAGAACTGAACTAGAACTGAACTAGAACTGAACTAGAACTGAACTAGAACTGAACTAGAACTGAACTAGAACTGAACTAGAACTGAACTGAGACTGAACTAGAACTGAACTAGAACTGAACTAGAACTGAACTAGAACTGAACTAGAACTGAACTAGAACTGAACTAGAACTGAACTAGAACTGAACTAGAACTGAACTAGAACTAAACTAGAACTGAACTAGAACTGAACTAGAACTGAACTAGAACTGAACTAGAACTGAACTAGAACTGAACTAGAACTGAACTAGAACTGAACTAGAACTGAACTAGAACTGAACTAGAACTGAACTAGAACTGAACTAGAACTGAACTAGAACTGAACTAGAACTGAACTAGAACTGAACTAGAACTAGAACTGAACTAGAACTGAATAAAAACTGAACTAGAACTGACTAAAAACTGAACTGGAACTGAATTGGAACTGAACTAGAACTAACAACAAAAAGTACCTTGTACCTAGGTAATTATAAAATACTGCTGGATCTCGAAATACAAATTTTTAACCAAAGTTTAAACTTTGCATCCTACTCCTTTAAGTATACTAAACATTTTTCCTTCTTTTACCAAGTACTCACTTATCTTGGATTGCATTTGTAAATTTTTCTTCAACTTCTGTTCATAATTCTGTAAGAATGTCTCATTCTTGGTCCACATATTTATATAACTCTGATGCAGGCCATAGAACAGAGTTCTCTTCATGCGCGCCTCTAGCGTATAATCATTTTCTGCCGGTAGATTTGCTTTGAACTCCTGAAATTTTGTCATCAATTGATTACCCAAACGTAGATTGTGTTTTCGCAATTGATCCATTTCATTTTCTAACGAAACAAAACAAAATAAAAGAGATTTCGTTACAATTTAAAATGAATTAAGAATTCAAATATTTACCATTAAAACTTCGTATGTTTGCTGCCTGTGTCATACGATTCATTGACTCCAAATTTGCTGCTATTTGTGCTAAGTGTGTGCGTATTTCCGAATACTATCAATTATTTAAATTAAAGAAAAAGAATATGTATGAGAATATCTGTAAAACGTTTTTATTTAATTAACATATTGAGATTTTATTGACTTAATGATTAATGTGTTGTTTAAGGTTTAATTTTAAACGATTATTTTGGTATTTAAATTTAAATCTGTTTAGGCTTTATCTAAAATAATTTACTTTTGGAAAATAGAATGTATACTAAGCACGTAAAGTATGTTTTCAATATAATCTACCTCTCAAATTTAAATTGTTACTAGATGTTTTAATATTAAGTTATTTAATCTTGTAATTGCTTTGAACTTTAATTAAACAAATATTTAATGAAAATATTTAAAAATTATCTAATATTAACATTTAAAGTTTATTTTTAAACTGAAACTATTTATTTTTACCTATGCTTCGTTCAGATAAACTAGAACTGAACTAGAACTGAACTAGAACTGAACTAGAACTGAACTAGAACTGAACTAGAACTGAACTAGAACTGAACTAGAACTGAACTAGAACTGAACTAGAACTGAACTAGAACTGAACTAGAACTGAACTAGACTGAACTAGAACTGAACTAGAACTGAACTAGAACTGAACTAGAACTAGAACTGAACTAGAACTGAACTAGAACTGAACTAGAACTGAACTAGAACTGAACTAGAACTGAACTAGAACTGAACTAGAACTGAACTAGAACTGAACTAGAACTGAACTAGAACTGAACTAGAACTGAACTAGAACTGAACTAGAACTGAACTAGAACTGAACTAGAACTGAACTAGAACTGAACTAGAACTGAACTAGAACTGAACTAGAACTGAACTAGAACTGAACTAGAACTGAACTAGAACTGAACTAGAACTGAACTAGAACTGAACTAGAACTGAACTAGAACTGAACTAGAACTGAACTAGAACTGAACTAGAACTGAACTAGAACTGAACTAGAACTGAACTAGAACTGAACTAGAACTGAACTAGAACTGAACTACTGACTAGAACTGAACCAGAACTGAACTAGAACTGAACTAGAACTGAACTAGAACTGAACTAGAACTGAACTAGAACTGAACTAGAACTGAACTAGAACTGAACTAGAAATGAACTAGAACTGAACTAGAACTGAACTAGAACTGAACTAGAAATGAACTAGAACTGAACTAGAACTGATCTAGAACTGAAATAGAACTGAACTAGAATTAAACAAGAACTGAACTGAAATACATACATATGAAGCATTACTAAGTATAGTTATAAGACATAGAATATGACTGATTTTTTTTAATCTTCTCGAAATGCTACCGCTGACAATGTAAGAACATATTTCTATTTGAAACAAATGTAATGACAGAAAAAATCTGGTTTTCGAATAAAAGAACATTATCTGTAGTTACAAATAAAAATTGTTGACAACAAAATTCCGGTTGTATGAGTAAATAATTAAGTAACTTAATTATCAAAATCAAGGTTGGGTCACCATTGCCGCCTAGTTACTGTTATCGTTAAACTACCTTTTAGATTCATACCGTTAGAGTACCGTTATCGTAAAAACGTAAAGAATTAACAACTTAAAACTATCAAAGATCGTTAAAATCGCATTGAGATGGTTTACAAATTATATCTATTAGACTTCAGTTCAATTAAATTTATAACTCCAGAAGGAAAAGTTTTACATTTGGCTATGCCGAAACTTATTTAACCAACATCGAAACATGTATCGTAAATTTAAAGTGAATTTCGGAAAGTGTCCCGATCACTTCTGGACCAAATCTGAAAGATTTTTTTATTTTCAAAGAACATACATATCATTAATTTTCTAAACGATTTATTGGTAAACCTATTTCCTATTAAAGAGGATATATGGGAGTTTGGTTAGTTAGACCTGGTTCACACTGGAAAACTTTTGTTGAGAAACTTTGGAATTTGTGTGTGAGAGAAAGAAATGGTTGATATATATTTTTCTCTCACACACAATAATCAAAAGTTTCCCAAAAAAAGTGTTCCAGTGTGAACCAGGTCTTATGAAATTTGGAAGATGCAATGAGTAATTTTTCGCTGTTACACAGTGTTAAGTAATCCCTTGCTATTTAAGTTTTTAACGATGTAAGAGTTAGTGTAGGGTATCTCATCTGACCGATTTGGACCGTTGGTATTACTTTCTTCTTACTTGATTTTATTTGTAGTAGAGCGTGCATTTTTGTATGTATTTATGTATGTTTGCATGTTTAAATGAGTTCGTACAAATATTAGTAATTGTTTGCTTTTCTTTCTCTGTACAATACAAAAATAAATTTAGTATAAAGATTCTTTCTTTATAAACTTACTAGCTTATTACCCGCTACTTTGTTAGCGAGGGTTTTTATAGAATGAGAAATATGTTGGCTATTCATTTAGCAAGGAAAAAATAATATGTTTTACAAAGATTACAAATTTTTAAATATTGGTAATTCCCTAATTTGAAGAAATGATGATTGTATATGAGTACTCAATTTTAAGTACTTAAAAGTCCACTTTTATAGATTCTCATTTACTCCGGGCTCTATATGCTTAATTTCATGTTTTTAGGTTGAATTTTATAGAAAACTCAAAAAGTACCAATCGAAGGACGAAAAAGTGCCAAAAAGTTCACTTTTATAGATTTTCATTAACTAAGGCCTCTCCATGCTTAATTTCATGTTTCTAGGTTTAATTTTATTGAAAACTCAAAAAGTACCAGTCGAAGTACGATAAAGTACCAAAAAGTCCCCTTTTATAGATTCTAATTTACTCCAGGCTCTACATGCTTAATTTTATGTTTCTAGGTTAAATTTTATAAAAACTGAAAAAAGTACCAGTCGAAGAATGAAAAAGTACAAAAAAGTCTCCTTTTATAGATTCTTATTTACTCCGGGCTCTACATGCTTAATTTCATGTTTCTATGTTAAATTTTATAGAAAAATCAAAAAGTACCAATCGAAGAACAAAAAAGTACCAAAAAGGTCCTCTTTTATAGTTTCCAATTTACTCCGGGCTCTATATGCTTAATTTCATGTTTTTAGGTTCAATTTTATAGAAAAATCAAAAAGTACCAGTCGAAGAACGAAAAAGTACCAAAAAGTCCCCTTTTATATATTCTCATTAACTAAGGGCTCTGCATGCTTAATTTCATGTTTCTAGGTTTAATTTGATAGAAAACTCAATAAGTACCAGTCGAAGGACGAAAAAGTACCAAAAAGTCACCTATTATAGATTCTCATTTACTCTGGGCTCTACATGCTTAATTTTATGTTTCTAGGTTAAATTTTATAGAAAACTCAAAAAGTACCAGTCGAAGGATGAAAAAGTAAAAAAAGTCCCCTTTTATAGATTCTCATTAACTAAGGATTCCGCATGCTTAATTTCATGTTTCTAGGTTAAATTTTATAGAAAACTCAAAAAGTACCAGTCGAAGGACGAAAAAGTACCAAAAAGTCTCCTTTTATAGATTCTCATTTACTCCGGGCTCTACATGCTTCATTTCATGTTTCTAGGTTAAATTTTATAGAAAACTCAAAAAGTACCAGTCGAAAGACGAAAAAGTACCAAAAGGTCCCCTTTTATAGATTCTCATTTACTAAGGGCTCTACATGCTTAATTTCATGTTTCTAGGTTAAATTTTATAGAAAACTCAAAAAGTACCAGTCGAAGGACGAAAAAGTACCTAAAAGTCCCTTATTATAGATTCTCATTTACTCTGGGCTCTACATGCTAAATTTCATGTTTCTAGGTTAAATTTTATAGAAAACTCAAAAAGTACCAGTCGAAGGACGAAAAAGTACCAAAAAGTCCCCTTTTATAGATTCTCATTTACTCTGGGCTCTACATGCTTAAATTCATGTTTCTAGGTTAAATTTTATAGAAAACTCAAAAAGTACCAGTCGAAAGACGAAAAAGTTCCAAAAAGTCCCCTTTTATAGATTCTCATTTACTCCGGGCTCTACATGCTTAATTTCATGTTTTTAGGTTAAATTTTATAGAAAACTCAAAAAGTACCAGTCGAAGGACGAAAAAGTACCAAAAAGTCCCCTTTTATAGATTCTCATTAACTAAGGCCTCCGCATGCTTAATTTCATGTTTCTAGGTTAAATTTTATAGAAAACTCAAAAAGTACCAGTCGAAGGACGAAAAAGTACCAAAAAGTCCCCTATTATAGATTCTCATTTACTCTGGGCTCTACATGCTTAATTTCATGTTTCTAGGTTAAATTTTATAGAAAACTCAAAAAGTACCAGTCGAAGGACGAAAAAGTACCAAAAAGTCCCCTTTTATAGATTCTCATTACTCCGGTCTCTAGATGCTTAATTTCATGTTTCTAGGTTCAATATTATAGAAAATTCAAAAAGTACCTTTTGAAGAACGAAAAAGTACCAAAAAGTCCCATTTTATAGATTCTCATTTACTCCGAGCTCTACATGCTTAATTTCATGTTTCTAGGTTTAATTTTAAAGAAAACTCAAAAAAGTACCTGTGTAGAACGAAAAAGTAGCGAAAAGTCCCTTTATTATTAATTTCATGTTTCTATTTCAATATCATAGAAAACTCAAAAAGGACCAGTTGGAGAATGAAAAGTACCAAAAAATATTACTTGGTACCGGGGTTCCAAATAACACCCCATTAGGATATTTAGTGTTTCTAAATTTAAAAATTTTATTTAAATTGGATCATTCTGGTTGAATAAAATCAAATTTCCCGTTTTTACCCCTTTTGGTACTTTTTTCCTCCCCATTAAAAATTCTATTCCAAAAAGTTGCAACATCGTAGTGGGAGCCCGTTATTATGTATTCATATGTATAAGTTAATAAACCAAAAACAATGTTTTATGAAAAAAGTACCAAAAATAGGTACAATTTTAACCCCTTAAACGTCCGAATATCCAAAAAGTACTAAATTCATATTTTTGTTTTTTCGTTAAGTTATAAAGGAGTTAAAAATATTTTTTGAATGTGCACTGGTTTAAAAGATACATGGGGTGCGAAAAAAGTACCAAAATACAGTTTTTACCCGTTTATTCCCTAAAGGGGCCGAATTTTAAAAAAGTACCAGATACCTGTCCGTTTATTTTTTAAATGAACGGCGATAAGCTTTAAACTGTTTTTGTATCTTTTCTAGTTTAGGAGATATAAGGTTACCGAATTTACCCGTTTTTACCCTTTTTTACCCCCTAAACATTCGAATTTCCAAAAATCCCGTCTTAGTGGATCTATTTGGAGACCAACCTCCTGTCCAAATTTCAGCTCTTTAGCTTCAACCGTTTAGGCTGTGCGATGATGAATCAGTCAGTGAATCAGTCAGTCAGTCAGTCAGTCAGTAACGTTAGAATTTTATATATATAGATTAAATATAAAAATAAAATGAAAAAAAGAGCACAAGAATAAATTAAATAAATTTAATTGTTGTAAAAACAAACTGGTATTATTAATGTTTAAGATTTAAGCTGGTTTTAAATTTTTTTTATTTAAAAAAAGATGCCACTCTAAATGAAGAAAACAACTACATGCAAACATACATACATACATATGTACATGAAATTATACTTAGAATAATAAAAAATTTAAAATACTGGGTCAATTATTTTTACAAAGCAAAAACCAAAAAACTAGAACATATAAAAAGCTAAAAAAAGTCTCGTGACCGCTATTAGATTCTTAGATTTACTTACCGGATTGAGTATGGCATCTACGGGTGTATTTTGTTGCATATTGGCTGCTGAGTTTTGCCTTTCCAACGATATTGTTGTACCATTCGTAGAATTACAGCTGTTTGAGCGCTGCGAAAAGTAATTAGCCGAATGAATGAGTTAAATGAAGAATGAATTTTTACTTTTTTATTCTTAAATTTTATTTCAAAATTTCTTTGTATTTTTTTTATTTTTTTTTTTTGCTCAATGTTGATAACGTTGCGTATTGTATAACTCTAGCTTACCTGTATTAATTCTGGCAATCGATCTCTTGCCATTTTTTTGTTTTTTTTTTTAATTTTTTGGTTTGTTCTCTAGTTGTTCATATACAGAGGTAGTTGAGAGCAGCAGCAGAGTATCTGTGTGTTGTGTCTGTCTGGTATGCAAGTGTGAAAAAACAGTTAATTGAATAGTCAAATAACAGTGTTGACAACGTTTTTTTTTTGTAATTTATTAAAGCTCTAACTGAAATATAATTAAAAAAGTTTGTGAGAAGTCAAATTTCATTTAAGTACCCATCAACAAATTTATCAAAATATTGGTCTTAGAACTCGTAATATTAATATATTATTGGTCCTTGCAAAATTTGAACTAGAACAGAACTAGAACAGAACTAGAACAGAACTAGAACAGAACTAGAACAGAACTAGAACAGAACTAGAACAGAACTAGAACTGAACTAGAACTGAACTAGAACTGAACTAGAACTGAACTAGAACTGAACTAGAACTGAACTTGAACTGAACTTGAACTGAACTAGAACTGAACTAGAACTGAACTAGAATTGAACTAGAACTGAACTAGAACTGAACTTGAACTGAACTAGAACTGAACTAGAACTGAACTAGAACTGAACTGAACTGACTAGAACTGAACTAGAACTGAACTAGAACTGAACTAGAACTGAACTAGAACTGAACTAGAACTGAACTAGAACTGAACTAGAACTGAACTAGAACTGAACTAGAACTGAACTAGAACTGAACTAGAACTGAACTAGAACTGAACTAGAACTGAACTAGAACTGAACTAGAACTGAACTAGAACTGAACTAGAACTGAACTAGAACTGAACTAGAACTGAACTAGAACTGAACTAGAACTGAACTAGAACTGAACTAGAACTGAACTAGAACTGAACTAGAACTGAACTAGAACTGAACTAGAACTGAACTAGAACTGAACTAGAACTGAACTAGAACTGAACTAGAACTGAACTAGAACTGAACTAGAACTGAACTAGAACTGAACTAGAACTGAACTAGAACTGAACTAGAACTGAACTAGAACTGAACTAGAACTGAACTAGAACTGAACTAGAACTGAACTAGAACTGACTAGAACTGAACTAGAACTGAACTAGAACTGAACTAGAACTGAACTAGAACTGAACTAGAACTGAACTAGAACTGAACTAGAACTGAACTAGAACTGAACTAGAACTGAACTAGAACTGAACTAGAACTGAACTAGAACTGAACTAGAACTGAACTAGAACTGAACTAGAACTGAACTAGAATGAACTAGAACTGAACTAGAACTGAACTAGAACTGAACTAGAACTGAACTAGAACTGAACTAGAACTGAACTAGAACTGAACTAGAACTGAACTAGAACTGAACTAGAACTGAACTAGAACTGAACTAGAACTGAACTAGAACTGAACTAGAACTGAACTAGAACTGAACTAGAACTAACTGAACTAGAATAACTAGAACTGAACTAGAACTGAACTAGAACTGAAACTAGAACTGAACTAGAACTGAACTAGAACTGAACTAGAACTGAACTAGAACTGAACTAGAACTGAACTAGAACTGAACTAGAAACTGAACTAGAACTGAACTAGAACTGAACTAGAACTGAACTAGAACTGAACTAGAACTGAACTAGAACTGAACTAGAACTGAACTAGAACTGAACTAGAACTGAACTAGAACTGAACTAGAACTGAATTAGAACTGAACTAGATTAAAAGTTTTGAATTGAAATTTGTAAAAAATCGTTGTTTCGATATATCACGATACTGTACTAATGATAGCGTCCAGCTGCAAAGGTCTAGACTCTAGTAGTGCTGTTAAAGTATTGAGTAGTGGTATCGAGTATCGAGTATTTGCCCTATTTTTGGTACTCAATACTAAAAAGTAGTTACTCAATACTTTCAGACTTGTATATGGATTTAACTTATTTAAATTTAACGGCTATAATGTGAAAAAATACAGCTCTAAAATCTAATGTAGACCATATCATTATTAGAAATGCAACTCTTAGCAATATCAAATCAATGTAAAAAATAATTTAAACACTGAAATAATAGTTAAAAAGTTACAAATATTTATCGACGCAATCTAAAAAAAATAAAATGTCTCAAAAGAGGTGTGATGTCTGGTCTAACTCTTCTTAAAAAAAATTAAAAATTCCTCGTTTTTAATTTAAAATAAAACCGTTAAAAGTATCGAGTAGTATTGAGTACCCAAACGAAAAGTATTGAGTAGTATTGAGTAATCAAAAGTAGTAGAATATTACAGCACTAGACTCTAGAGCAATAAAACTTTTTACAATATACATACATATTATCTTTTGACTAAAAACACTTAAAATAAAACTAATCGTTCAATCAGGAATCTAAAATTTAAAAGAAAATATCCAGTTTTTGAACGGCAAACTATGACAATTATATTTATAGCAAAATATTCTTCTCAGGACCGCCTGGTATGGGACTAATCGCTCAACGAGAAAAAGCATTTACAGAAAAATACCTGTCCGTCAATCTGCCGTTCCAAAACTTATTAGAGAATTCTATGAACTCCGAAATTTTTTTCTAATAATATTATGACTTCTTCCGTTATATGTTTTTGTGGTGGGTATTAAATATTCGGCTTAAACGTAACACTATTAATATAAAAATGTTATTCAAAATTGCTTCTTCTTAAAAATTTTTAAAAGCACCAACACTATAGCTTAAAGCACTAAATAGACAACACTGTTAACTACTAATACCACTGCAAATTTATTTATTTGTTTAATTTTTATTATTATTTTTATAATTTTTAAACGTAATTTTTTTTTATCTTTTTCACTTTTTTACTATAGTTTTTTTTTGCTCAGTTACTTTTTTTAAATTGTTGTAATTCCTCAGTTAGTGAGTGTTTTTTTATCAGTTTTTTTCACAATTTCAGAATTTTTTGATAAGATTTTGCTTTGGTAAAGCTAGAGAGTATGAAGGTCTTTTTGTAATTTGTTGTTGCCGTTAATAATATTTATTTTTTAAATTAGTGTAAAATTTCGTTTAGTAACGTTAAGTCTTGAGAAGATTAAGTAATTTTGTTTTTGGGAACACTTTGGAATTCTTTTTTTAATAAATCTTTTGTTTTTTTTATTGTTATTAATGTTATAAAATAAAATTTATCTGATAGTTTTTGTATCTTTTAGTTTCAAGTGCAAAAACAGCATTGATTTGCAGCCAAACACTTAGGAATACTGTCTGTCAGTCAGTCGGTAGTCATTAGTATAGTAGCAGTAGTAGCTCTAGTAGTCATCGTCGTCTCAATGACTAAATAATACCACAAAACAAAATCACAAAAATTATATTTAAAAACAAAATAAAGAAATAAGTATTTCAAGTCATGTTATTCTTGATTATTTTTATTTTTTGCCCTTATTTCTTATTGTTGTTGCTTTCTTTGCTTTAGTAATTGTTTGTATTTTAATTTATGTAGTTTTTGCTTTTACACACGTATGTATTATTTTCAATTGTTATAGTTTTTTTTCACTTTACACTTTACTTTGTCATAGACGGTGCTAAACTAAAACCCATAAAGAGAAATAATTCATTCCAAACACTCTTCTTGTCTTCTGTTTTTTTTAGCACACAATTCAATTCAATTCCATTCTACTTTTTATTCCACAAACAGTTTTATCTGTGTAAGCTTCTATAATGTCGTCGTCTCGCCTTGCTCTAACTAAACTTAGTACACTTTCCGACACTCACAGTTCCATACTCGCAAAATTCCTTAATATAGTCAAGAAATCTGACATAATATTTGAAAAATAAACTTTTATTTTTTCTCAGATCTCGATTAGCAAATTTCACACACCGATAATATAATAAATATACTCTTTATAATCGTGTGTATTAAGACCGTATAAAGCTTTAATCACTTTAATATAACCTACTCTACTAAAATCGGGAGTGTATTATGCATTTGTGTTTATGTTTGCAAGAGGTAAAAATTCAGGTTCCGTAGCTTTAAAATAATACTTGCTGAATCTGTTCCAGCTTTCGGTTTGGTGAAATTAAAACTTCGACTTAATCTATTGGATAGAACATATATTTCATACTTTGTCCCATAAGGTGCCTTTGTTCTTGTGTTTATCAATACTAACCAACAGTACTGTTTTATTTACATACTAGAAGCGTCCAGCCGCGTCATTGGGGCTTTTATTGGACGGTTTGAGTGTAATTGACGAAAATTTATACTACAGCGGTATCTAACGCATTGTTATAAAACTTAACGGGAACATTCCTCAAGACCCCTTGAATATACATATATTTGAAATCTTTAGGTACAGAAGTCCTTGAGTATATTGATTACGATGAAGTTAGTTAGTTAGTTAGATAGTTAGTTAGTTAGTTAGTTAGTTAGTTAGTAGTTAGTTAGTTAGTTAGTTAGTTAGTTAGTTAGTTAGTTAGTTAGTTAGTTAGTAGTTAGTTAGTTAGTTAGTAGTTAGTTAGTTAGTTAGTTAGTTAGTTAGTTAGTTAGTTAGTTAGTTAGTTAGTTAGTTAGTTAGTTAGTTAGTTAGTCAGTTAGTTTGTTAGTTAGTTAGTTAGTTAGTTTGTTAGTTAGTTAGTTAGTTAGTTAGTTAGTTAGTTAGTTAGTTAGTTTAGTTAGTTAGTTAGTTAGTTAGTTAGTTAGTTAGTTAGTTAGTTAGTTAGTTAGTTAGTTAGTTAGTTAGTTAGTTAGTTAGTTAGTTAGTTAGTTAGTTAGTTAGTTAGTTAGTTAGTTAGTTAGTTAGTTAGTTAGTTAGTTAGTTAGTTAGTTAGTTAGTTAGTTAGTAGTTAGTTAGTTAGTTAGTTAGTTAGTTAGTTAGTTAGTTAGTTAGTTAGTTAGTTAGTTAGTTAGTTAGTTAGTTAGTTAGTTAGTTAGTTAGTTAGTTAGTTAGTTAGTTAGTTAGTTAGTAGTTAGTTAGTTAGTTAGTTAGTTAGTTAGTTAGTTAGTTAGTTAGTTAGTTAGTTAGTTAGTTAGTTAGTTAGTTAGTTAGTTAGTTAGTTAGTTAGTTAGTTAGTTAGTTAGTTAGTTAGTTAGTTAGTTAGTTAGTTAGTTAGTTAGTTTGTTAGTTACTTCTGCAGTATATTCCTTGTCGACCATTCCCAACTTTAGTGTCTTACTCGCATTTTGGAATGTTGTTATATTAGCGAGCGTGCATATTAATTAAGACTGAGTAGTAATGGTTCGCAGCTCCAGCTCTGCCAATACTTTTTAATACACTCTCATGTAAACAATATGTACAACAACCACAAATGATTAATAATATTTTGTATTGCACAATTAAAGTATGCAATGTTGTTGTTATTTTATTAACATCATTCTCAATTATTGATTTATATGAGAACTTATTAAAATGCTCATAATACAGGCATGGGATTACCTAAATGTTATCAATGCTTAAACAAATTTAAGATTTAAAGCGGGGTCAATGAAACTTTGATACTGAGTAGTACAAATTTTACAAGTATGAAATTGATAATTTTAAAAAGTGTAATACAATGATCCACTGAGAAATACATACTTAAATAGAGTTATGACTAGGGTTCTATAGTTGAAACGAAAAGTCGACTTTTCGACTTTTTTCATTTAGTTAAAAGTCGACTTTTCGACTTTTTGCATTTTATGAAAAGTCGATTTTTCGACTTTTTTCATTTAAATAAAAGTCGACTTTTAGACTTTTCGACTATAAGTATTTTATAAATAGTCGACTTTTCAACTTTTTCCGACTTTTCGACTTTTTGACTATTTTCGACTTTTTGACTATTTTCGACTTCTTTCTACTTTTTTCCGACTATTTTTGACTTTTTTCAAGTTTTTCCGACTATTTTAGAGTTTTTGACTTTTTTTTCCACTTTTTTAAAATTTTTGACTATTTTGACTTGTTTCTACAATTTTCGATTTTTCGACTTTTTCCGACTTTTCGACTTTTTCCGACTTTTTTCGACTTTTTCCGACTTTTCGACTTTTTACGACTTTTCGACTTTTTTCGACTTTCTTCGACTTTTTTCGACTTTCTTCGACTTTTTTCGACTTTATTCGACTTTTTTCGACTTATCGACTTTTTTCGACTTTCAGACTTTTCGACTTTTATTCACAAAGTCGACTTTTCGACTTTTTTCACAGACGATAGTCGAGTTATCGGCTTTTTTGGAACAAAATAGTCGACTTCGACTTTTCGACAAAAAGTCGATTGTTCGATTAATCGAAAGTCGATTTATAGAACCCTAGTTATGACTGTTGTTATAAAATTTAGGGGGGTTTGCCCTAAAACAGTCTGTAGAAATAATGGCCCCATTGAGAAAACAATGAAAGCCTGTGATCATCATGATAAATCTGTTTTTGTGAAAGTCCTTCAATCGTTTTATAGTAAAACTGAAATTTAAAACGATATTTGTGATTGTGTGTGTTTTTCAAGTTGCAATATTAGTGATGTCCAGCTCTGTTTATTTTAGAACTAAAAATCATCAAAAGAAATTTGCGTCAATAGAGTCGTCTTAAAGTCTGTATGACGTCGCCTCTTCGTCATGGATTTTATTACCATCAATTCGATTTGTAAAATAAATTTTATAACCCAGCAAACAATAGAAGTCCCTTAATATGGGGAAATCACTAATAATTTTATATTTTACAAAAAATACGATTTAAATGGATTATTTTATTATTTAAATTTCAAAATTTAAAAAAGAGTAAATCGAAAATGTGGTGGTGTCTGTCATCCATATAAGATCAAATACATATGTATATTATATATACCGGTTTAGCTGATTTTTGACTTATTTCTTTGATTTGTTTATTACAAGGGTTAGAAAAAGTTTAATTGCTTGTATATATATATATATATATATATATATATATATATATATATATATATATATATATATATATGTATGTTTAAGATTTCAGGGAAGAAAGCTTTGTGTATAAATAATAATTCCATACTCCAGGGCCCAATTTATACTACTACAATCAAATTTTACGCGATTGCTTTAGTGCACAAAACGTTAAATCATTTGGGTATAAATATGAACATTTTACTACTGTTCATTAAACAAGCTCCCCAACACTACTTGACCAATCAAGGCAATTATATTGAGAAAATATTTTAATTATATACGAAATGTATTCAAAGATAGAAAATTGCAAATAACATTTCCACTATATCATTAACTTATGTATAAATGATTAAATACAAATTGTTGTTGATATAAATATCAAAAAGACAAAGCACTTTGATCCCAAATGTATTGGTTTGATTGATGATTGATGGAAGAACACTGTTATTCGAATGAATGTGCTTTTGAGAATACATACAAACATACAAACAAAAATGTATTTATCTTTAATATTAAGCTTTAATTTTGGTTAACATTTTTTCTTGTTCTTGGGAAAAGCTGAAAAAAGTTGAAAATTAATTACATTACCTTGGCACAGGTGTGTTAAATATTTGTTAATTTTTCAATGATTAAACGAAATGTCCAAGATCAAGTCAGTTGTAAAACTTAAATAAATTAATTGTTTAATAAAATAAAATGCATTTACATTTGAGTGACAGTATGTCTGCTCATTAAGATTGAATTGTGAAAAAGGAATGTTACATATTTTTGTTGCTTTTTCACACAAAAATCGATTTCTTATACGAAAATTTGTTCAGTAAATTAATTAAGTTCTTATTATTCTTTAATAAAACAGTTATGAAAGCGCTTTATTGTGAAAAAAGCTCTTTTATACATATTGTAAATATATAAAGAAAAAAGATTAAATAGTTTTTATGTAAAAAGATTGTGAAAAAAACTTTTTTGTAAGTTTTTTTGTAAAACTTAAAAAAGGACTTTTGGTAAAAATTGCGATGAAGCTTTTTCTAAAAATGTAAAGCTTTTTAAGTTGGAAAAAGTGTTTTTAAGATAAAAATTATCTTAAATGAACATTTTTTGTATAAAAACTTTTTTGTGGATTTTTACTGGAAAAGCGAGTATTTATGTAAAACGAACATTGTAATGTACAATTTATTTGTGTTTTTAAAGGTTTTTATGAAAAAGCTCTTATTTTGTTAAAAGTGTATATTTCTAGCCTTTTTACAAAAAGATGTTTTAAAAAGCTTTTTTGTACAAATTAAAAATGGCGATATTGTATTTTTCGTAAAATTTAAAAATCTTTTTGGAAGAAAATGGTTGTAAAGCTTTTTCGTAAAAATGTAAAGATTTCTTTAGTTGGAAAAAGTGATTTTATAAAAAAATATATTTTAGATGAACATTTTTTCGAACAATTTTACTGAAACAGCATTTTGTGACTTTTTTTTTAAATGTAAAAGCTTTTTTGGTCGAATCGAAATGTTTAATGTACAATTTATTTGCATTTTTTGAAAAAGCTTTATTTCGTTAAGTCTAGTTTTTTAATAAAAATTTAAAAAAGCTTTTGATAGAAAACGGCTTCTTCCAGTAGAAACATTTTTCGATAAATTAGCTTTATTGAAAAAGCTTTTTTGTGATTATTTTTATATTAAGCTTTTTGCGACTGTTTTTCTATGTCCTCCCGGGGCATGTTTCCTTGATGAAAGACCCTCGTTTTGGTGTATTGCAATCCCGGGGTATAAAGAGGTGGCCAATACCTCCAGTCTGGCCGGGACTGAAAAAATGGTTACAGTCTACTGCCTGGCTTAGTCCTTGCATAGATTGCCAGAGGTCAGACCAGAGCACCACATAATCTGGTACTACGGGTGGCCAGTTGCCCTCAGGACTATGTAATGGCTGGTCCTTCGGGATCCACTATGTGCTGTTGTCGACTCAACAGAGGCCATCCCATCTGCATGGTTATAAACGCAAGTGATGTTTTTGCATGCCAGAAGTTAAGCATCGAGGCAGCAATGATCAGAGATTAGATAGCTCAAGCACTTGCGTGTAAGAAGAACAATCGGGCGTTGGTGCGTCGTCACAGAAGCTCACCCAGTGGTTGAAAAAGACCACCTTGAAGTAGGCCAATCATGGCAGATGTTCACGTAAAGCACGTCGGCATTAATTTGTCTATCTATCTATCTATCTATCTATCTATCTATCTATCTATCTATCTATCTATCTATCTATCTATCTATCTATCTATCTATCTATCTATCTATCTATCTATCATCTATCAAGCAAGCATTATCTTTCTGTGTCTTAATAATGAAAAAATTTAAAGCTTTTGCTTGATTTGTTTGTTTTGTTAAAATTCCATTTTATTTTTACACAATTACTTAAAGTTTATTATTTAATAATTTAAAATAAGAACATTTAAATTTTAAACAACTTTTGTGTTTTTTTTTTCAATTTTCCAAAAAATATTAATTAAATTTTTTAAAAATTGTAATTACTCCTCTAATGGTGATTTGTTGGGGAGAGTTTTTTTCAATATAAATGTTAATTAAACTCAATTCATTAAATGACTTAAGCTAAATTAACTTGTTTTAATAGTTTTATCCAGTTAAATGCTATCATTTGAAAAAATACAAAAAGAAAAAAAAATATTACAAATACTCGTATTACTAAAGTGTGTAATTTAGTGATTTGTTTTTTCTTTTAGCTCATAGAGTTTGTGTAAAGAGAATGCAATCTTTTTTTTTTATTCTTTCGTCTTTAGTTTCGTTTTCTGGAATGAATATTCCTGAGCTTTAACTGACAGACTTATGTAACAAATGATATTTATAAATAATAAGTAATTAATTATAACTTAAAGTTAGAAAAGAGGAAACTACGTAAAATAATAAATTAAACAAAGAGTAACATTTAAACTAATTACATCATAACACTATAAATTAGGTTATTAAATTTAAATTTCTACATTAGAATTTGAATCTATTATAATTATATGTAGAAATAATTGAATTTGTAAAGGAACTTACAAAACTTTGAGCAAATTTGAAGAAAAAAAAATGATGCAATTATTAAAATTATACTACAAATCACCTTTGAAGTTTTTAAACTTCTAAGCAAAACTATAAAACTAAAATACCAAAGCTTTAAAATATCAATAGAGAAAAGCTTTCAAAGTTATGAACAGTTTGGCTTAGATGTAGAATAATTAAGAGGTTTTAACTTTAATCTTCCAACCTTGCTTTTTATTGAGCCAAACCTTAATCAAACTTTAAAGCTTTTGCTTTTGCTTTTTTTTTTTTTTTTTTGTAATATTCTCTTACAAAAGTATACTTCTTTCATTCTAAAACATGCCTTTACAATAAAGTGTTTGTTGTGTTATCTTGAAATGTTATGGGTTTGTTTAAGGGGTTTAACTATGTTTGTGTTTAAATTGTTGTATTATTATTATTTTATAATTTAAATGGTTTTTTATTTTTCAATTTCATATTTCGGTAGGTTAGTGTTTCTATTATAAATATTCTAAGTCTGCATGTTACTTTTTTATGTATGTTTCATAAATTATGTTTTATTTAATTTAATGGAACTTAAGTTCTTGTTTCCTTTAATAGTTTTGTGTGTGTGTGTGTTTTTAGATTATTATCACTAGTTGCTTTTCTTGTCTTCGGGCGTTGTTGAGTCCAATGATGTGGTAGAATCGGCCATGGGTGATGTAGTGGTAGTGGCTTGTTTAGAGGACAATTCAGATTCGCTCATGCTATTCTGTAAATATAAAATTAAAAAAAATATATATTAATACAATAAAACTTGTCACAAAACCATTTGTCTCTAGTGATTTTCTGCTCTATCTTGGACTGTCATCAACTAAGATAAACAGACTATCAATATCAGTCACAAAAATCAAGAACCGAATTACTGCACTTGTGTTAGAGTGCAATTGATCAAGATTATGGCGTTAGACTTTGAACAAGAAATTCCTAATTTTAGAATTTCTAAAGTTCTTTCAATTATGAATGCATTAACTTGTTATCAGGGTTTTAAGGCTTCAGTTAACCGATTTCATAAATCAATTAGAAATCCCATGTGATTTTATTTTCTTATTTAAAACTCACCTTCATTTGTTTGCGCAATTTCATTGATTTGCCCATACTGATCAAGCGATAACGCTCCTTGGCGCGTTCACGTATCTTTTCGGGTACCACCAGCAGAGTTGTAGTAATGTTGCCAATAAACAGCAAGAAGAACAAACCGCTTAAAGCAGAAACCTGGAAAAAAGAAAAATAATCAAATTTACAGATTTCTTAGGAAAAGCTATTATGTAAAAAAGCTTTTTTGGTGAAAAAATTTTAGGAAACGATTTCTAAATAAAACAAATATTAGAAAGGAGTTGAAGAATGTTTGAAAAAAGATTTTTTATAAAAGAAAATAGTTTTTAGAAAGTTAGGAAAAACTTTATTAAAATTGTGTTGAAAACCTTTTTAATTTTTTTTTTTGCAAAAGAATGTAAAAAAGTAGTTTCTTTACTAAATTCAGAAAAATGCTTAAAAAAGCTTTGTAAACATGTTGTGCAAGCTTTTTTGAAAAAAAAAATTAAAAAAAGCTTTTTTGCAAAAAAATTAAGTTTTTTTCTAGAAAAACTTGAAATAAAGCTTTTTATAAAGAACATTGAAAAAAACTTTTTATAAAAGAAAATAATTTTGAGAGAGTCAGAAAAAACTTTATTACAATTGTGTTGAAAACTTTTTTTAACTATTTTTTTTTTTGCAAAAAAATGTAAAAAAGCATTTTCTTTAATAAATTCAGAAATATACTTACTTAAAGCTTTGTAAAAATGTTGTGCAAGCTTTTTTGCAAAAAAATTAAAAGCTTTTTTAATTATAAACTATCTTTTTTTAAATGCATGTAAACAATTTTGAAAGAGCTTTTTGTTAAAAATGGTGAAAGTTTTTTTTGCAAAAAAAAAAAAAAAAAATTCTGGAAGACTATCTACGAATCATTTTAACAATTAATATGTGATTTGTCTAACATTTTATTATTGAAACACCTTTTTAAGAAAAAAGCTCGTGAAATTTTTGCTTATGAGAAAGCTCATTCAAGAATAAATTTAGAGTAAAGCTTTATTTAAAAAGCTTAATATAGCTGTTAAAAAAATTAATCGAAATAAATAAGTTTTTTTTTAAAAAAAGCTTTTTGTTAAAAATATTTATTTATATTGGAAAAGTTAGTCTTCCAAAAAGCTTTTTAATAAAAATATTTTTATTTTAAAAATTTTATTTCAAAAAAGTTTTTTTTTTTTTTAAATTTATTTGAAGAAAGCTTTTTATGAAAAAGCTTTTTTCATACAAAAACTTTTATTACAAAGAGCTTTTATTGAAAAACCTTTTTTGAAAAAAAAGGGTTGTGAAACTTTTGTTTATGAAAAATGTTATTCAAGAATAAATTTAGATTAATAAAGCTTTATAGTAAAAGCGTTTCCGTAAATAAAGTTTGTAAAAGCTTTTTGAAGTAAAAACTTTTATATAAAAATAAATTTTGATGGAAAAATTTTATTTTTGTTCAAAACGAATTAAATAAACGTTTTATTAAGAATGCTTTAATTTCGAAAAAGCTTTTTTTTATTAAAAAAAGCTTTTTTTTAATAAAAAAGTTTTAGTTTCGAAAAAGCTTTTTTTAATAAACAAGCTTTAATTTCGAAAAAGCTTTTTTATTAAAAACCTTTAATTAATTAAGAAAGCATTAATTTCGAAAAGAGGTTTTTATAAAAAAATTTTTAGTTAAAAACCATTTTTTATTCAAAAACGTTTATTACAAAAAGCTTTTTCGAACTTTATGCCAAACAAAAGCTTTTTCAGTTTTTTAATATAAAAACCAAAGAATTTTTGTAAAAAAAAGAATTATGGAAATGCTTTTTTATTTATATCGAAAAAGCTTTTTCATTAAAAATATATTTTTTTCGAAATATTTTTGGTAAAATTTTACTTGTATTAAATTTTCTAAATTCTAAAACACTTACATGCCATGGTGCATCTGGTGGAGTGATAGACAATTTATACAAAGTCCAAGCATTATAGGCCTGGAAGGCATAACCCATGAACAAGAAGGGCAATAAGAAACTTAAACCGCGCCACATCCAAGAGTGGAAGCCCTCAATGGTAATGTCCATATTATGACGTTCACCCAAGGCCTTTAAACGATACAGCAAACCCTTTTGATAACCGAATTGTAGATATTGGACCATGCCTGAAAAGGGCGAAAACCCAGAAGAAACATTAATATAATATCACAAGTCAAAAAACAAATAAGACTTACTTATATAGGCATTAAAGTACATAAATTGATTTCTAAACATTTGCCAATGTTCACCCTGAGGCCAAACCAATAAAACACCTGCGGCCACGGTGGAGATAAAATGATGGGCCCGCCACCATCCCTTAATGCGAGAGCCATTTACCTTCAAAATTGATTCACGTATAGTTAAGGTACAATAGTACCAAACTAAGAGGAAAATATAGGATAATTCGAGGGCTCTAGTGACAAAAAAACCAAAAAAATTCATGTTATTTATATTTTAAGTGAAAAAATGTAATTAACTAAAATTTACCTGTAATTAAATATCAAATTAACAAATGCCATTAACAGACCTATGACATTAAGTATCAATTTGAATTTTTCATATTCATCTTTATAGCGTACTTTGTCATTTCTATTAAGAATGGAGACATTAACATCACCTAAAATTATCTGTTGAAAAAATGAAATATCAGTTAACGGTTTTTAGTATTATTAAAAAAAAAATCACTTACTCTTAGATAACGTCCTGATTTAGCAGGTAATGACTGTTCAATTTCATAAAGTTGTGCTTTACGTTTCAGAGTATTTTTCTGTAATTCAGCAACTTTTTCTTTTTCTTCGGGTGATTGGATATTTTTGAATCTATAGAGGAAAGAAGGGAAATGTTTGTTGTTAAAAACTATTTAATAGCAAATTTCGAGAATTTTATGGCGTTTTTTGTTTAAAATTTTTTTAAATTTTGTTTATCTTTTTAATAATTAGAAATGAAACAAGCAAAACATAATAGTCATTGATTATAAATGTCATCATAAGTTTTCTTATCAATTAAATGGCAAAAAAGTTAAAATAGAAATAAACATTATAAAATTGATTAAGAACTTAGTTAAAATGGAATACACCTGCAAACATTTAATAATGTTTTTGTTTTATTTTTGGGGCTTGGATACCCACCAACAAAAATTATGTTTTCTTTTCTATGTTGTTTTGCTTCTTTCTTAAATTTGTTTAATAATTGTTAAGAATTTTATAACAGCTATTTTTATTTCAATTCAATTAACAACACAACAAATTCTTATCGTATTCGTAGAAAAGGCAAAAATATTAATAAGAAATCCAAGGTACAAATTTCACTTTTCTCACAAAGTTGTCGAAAATATATAATAGATATCGTTAACCATATTAAAAAATGGTTTGAAAGTAAAGAAAAATTCCTTAAGTGCATAATAACAATTATAAATATTATCGGTAAACAAGCGGTATTGTTTTATTTTATAAAATAGAAATTGTAAAGAAATTTAATCAAATTATTGCTGGATATAAAATTAATAAGGAAATCTTAGTTAGAACTTTGTATCCAAAAGTAATTGTTTATGTTTTTGTAAAACTAAAAAGGAAGTAACTATGAAATAAATTTAAAAAAAATTATGTAACAAATTCTTAAAACAAAAAAATTTTGTCTGGAATAAATTTACTTTTTAAATAAAAGTTGTTTAAAACTTGTAATTTTCACTAAACTCTGTTAAAGCGAGTTTAACTAAACCCGCTTAAACGAAGTTTAAGGTTTTAAAGTCAAATGTTCGTGTTCTAATAACCGCCTAAAATGTTTATATATACCAATTTTTTATTTTTATGAATTTCTTAAAACAAATTTTTTTAAATATTTGACAAAAAATGTAGTGAGAGCAAAAAAATTGTCTGGAAAACTATAGTCTTTTAATGAAAAGCTGTTTAAATGTTTTAAATTTAACTAAACTCTCTAAAAGCGAGTTTAACTAAACGCGCTTAAACAAAGTTTAAGGTTTTAAAATCATATATTCTTGGTCTAATATCTGCCTACAATGTTAATAGATATTCATTTTTTATTTTTATTAATTTTTGAAAACAATTTGTTAAAATATTTGACAAAAAATATAGTAAAAGCAAAAACATTTGTCTGAAAAACTTTTATCTTTTAATAAAAACCTGTTTGAAAGCTTTCATTTTCACTAAACTCTGTTAAAGCGAGTTTAACTAAACCCGCTTAAACGAAGTTTAAGATTTCAAAATCACATTTTGGTGTACTAATAACTGCCTACAATTTTTACAAATACAATTTGTTTATCTTTATTAAATTTTTTTAACAAAATTTCATAACTATTTAACAAAAATAGAGAAATCGAAGAAATAACTTCTGGGAAAAGTTTGTCTTTTAATTAAAGTTTAAGTTTTAAAGTTTTAATTTTCACTAAACTCTGTTAAAGCAAGTTTAACTAAACCCACTTAAACGAAGTTTAAGATTTCAAAAACACATTTTCGTGTACTAATAGTTGCCTTCACTTGATACATACATAATTTCTTTATTTTTATTAAATTTTTTAACTTAATTACATAACTATTTAACAAAAAAGTAGAGAAATCAAAAAATTCTTTCTAGAAAAATATTTTCTTTTAACCATTAATTGTTTAAAAGTTTGAATTTTAACTAAACCCGCTTTAACATAGTTTAAGATTTCAAAAAACATATATTTTTTTTAAATTTTTTTTTAACTAAATTTCATAATTATTTAACAAAAAATTATGAAAACTAAAAAAATGTTTTCTGGAAAAATATTATCTTTTAACCATAAGATGTTTAAAAATTTTAAAATTAATTAAACTCTGTTTAAGCGGGTTTAACTAAACGCGCTTAAACTAAGTTTAAGGTTTCAAAATGAAATGTTTCGTTTCCAATCTATGTCAGTAAACGTTAGATATAATTATTTTTAAATTGTAATCATTTCTTTAAAATATTTTTAAGAATTATTAATTTTGTTTAAAAATTTTAAATTAAAAGGAATTTTGAAAGAATGCTTTGTCAAAACTTTGTTTCTGAAAAGTATTCCTTATGCAGATTTATGGTAACCAGCAAAGGTATTATTTATATAAGTTGTTCATTAAAAAAAAAAAAAAAAATACAAAACACTTGCACTCTTATTGACCCGAACAGCAAATTAGTAAACAAATTGTTTATATTAATAGAATTCTTTCTTTGTTGTTGTTGTTTATGTCTGAATATTAATGACAAATTTTCAAAATGTACAAAATTAACTTTTGCACACTTTAAAATAAATTAAAGAAATAAATCTATAATTAATTTGGTTTACATTTCAAACCTAAATGGTTTATTCATTGCCAAATTATTTTATATTAAAAAAAAAGTTTAAATAAAAATTAAAAAAACTTACTGTTTTAAAGAGGCGCTTATTTGATTCATGCGATAACGTTGATGTTTAATTTCATTAAAACATTTCTGTTGATGGGAATGTAATTGTTCCAGCAATTCAATATATTTGCGATTACAGTCCTAAAAATACCAAAGAAATTAATGATTAACAGCAGTTTAATTATATTTTATTACTTTCTCTTAACTTACCTCCAAATCTACAAATTCGCGATTTAATTCATCCCATTCATTTGTTAAAGTATCTATATTATTATTGGCCATTGTTGTGGTATGTTTTGCAAAATGATCACGCCAGTAATTAAAATTGAAATAAGAATGCCTTTAAACGGCCTTGCTCTTGTAGGTTTAACCTTGTGTTGTTGGTTTCTTTTTTAATGTTTTTAGTTGCAGTTATATTTTTGTTATAAGATAATCAAAGAGAGGATGGTAGAGAGAATGATCTTCTATAATGAAAAAAGACAAGGTAAAATATTGTCAATTATTTTGAGATGTTGTTAAAATATTAAAAAATCTAAAATAGAAAAAATTTATTGGTTAAGGGAAAAAGTATTATATATACTTTATTATTTCTGGCTTCAAAATGATTTGGTTTAATTCTAGTCAGTTGAAATATTTATTAGATAAAAATATTTTTTATTTTCAAGAAAGTTTGAGCATAATTTTTTGAAAAATTTTGCTAAAATTTATTAAAATTTAGAAAATTGGATAGTGCAAAACCTGGAATTTTAACTAAGTATTATTTAAAATGTTTAAACTTAACTAAACTCTCCGTTTGCGAGTTTAACTAAACGCGCTTAAACAAAGTTTAAGACCTCAAAAGTAAATTTTCCAGATCTAACCACTTTCAGTATTCATAATATATAAAATTTTTTTATTTTCTATTATTTCTTTTAAAGAAATTCTTAAAAAATTAGACTTAAGTTAAAAAATTGTTTAAAATCTGTTTTCTTTGACAAATTTTATAATAAATTCAAATAAAATTGTTGTTTTTAATCATAATTTTAACAAAATTTTAATTTTAACTTTAAAACTACGAAATAACATTTTCCCTTTGCCAATATTTATGACTAAAGTATAGTGTTTTTTAATATGTTGAGGGTCTTGAACTCATTGGCTGTCAAGTACGCAGTTAAAATAACAACAACAATAGTAAAAAACTACAGCAGCACCAAAAAAATATTCAACTAAAACAATAAAATGATGAGATTTAACATGACTACACAAATCTTGTGTGTGTATTTTTTAGATTTTACAAAAAATTTAAGTTTTGTTGTAAACTTATTTACAAAATTGTTGATTAAATATTTAAAGAGATGACAATTTGAGGTCCAAATTCTATTTTTAAGTTAACAAATATGAAATAAAATGTTTTTTATGAATAATGACTACACGTGTTATATTTCTTTTTAATATTACAACAACAAATGACACTTTTCCTCTTTATTCTTTTTATAGCAAAATTTATACTGAATTTTCCTATGACCCCTTAGCCTAGAGGAAAATTTCAGCTCACCCGTTTCACTTAAGAATTGACAATTTCTTTAACTACCGTGCGCGACCGTTTACCGATTATATTTTTCTGGCTTGGCACCTTGTCTGCGCTATGAAAATAACTGTTTTCAACTATTCGACATCCATAGTGGGGAACCAGCTAAAAAAAGCCAGCGAATCACTCACTCACTCTCGAAATAAATAAAAATATGAAATTGAATAATCTAAAACAATAACAACAATACCTATAATGGCAAATTTTGTATTATTATTTTATTGTTATCCAGCTGAACTCGGACTATGATTTGTATGTTTAGTTGTTCTTTTTATTGTTGTTGTTATTGCTGCGGTTATTGCTGTTCAACAATTTGTAGATTTAATAATTATTTAGTTAAAACCTCTTGTGTTGTTTGCAATTTTTTTATTTTTCTTCGTATTCACTTTTTTCTCGTGTATATTTTCTTGATTAGATTAGTTTTATTTTATTTTTTATTCACTCTTCTTTATACAAAATGCGTTGTTGTTATTGCTTTTGTTTTTCTCTAGCACTCTAGCTGCTCTGGAAGCAAAAGGTAAAACAATAGGCAAAAATATTTATATTTTTTATGGAAAAATAAGCAGCGACCACAAAAAAAGCTTAATTCTCTTAATGCACGTTCCCGTCACACCACTTTTATTTATTTTTTGTTTTATTCATATCATAAAAAAAACTTTTGTCTAAACGTCACGGCATTTTTTCTTCATTTTTGCTTTTAGCATCTGATGACGTTGTCTTTCAAACCAGCTTACCTTCAAAATTTTATCAATTTTTATTAATACTTCTCACTTCTCTAAACACAAATCTTCTTAAAATTAATTTTATATTCTATTTTATAGAATTAAGACAAATTTTCATAGAATTTCTTTCGTTTTTTCTTATAAATTTCTATTGCTTTTTTTTCTATGCCGGTATGTTTACTGTGTTGGGTTAAAATGGAAAAAAAGATGATTGTCAAACATTTTCACCCCTTCAACAGCTGTTTGTCAATGTAAATCAGTGGTGAATAACTACAACTGGGTTTACACAAGCCATATGTACTAAATTAGAACAGGGTCGTATTGTGGGAAATAAAATATAACGGTAATTTAATTTTTAAATAAAAACTATTTACAAAATTTTTGGAAATTTTTTTCATTTTCTTAACTCAGAATTAAATAACAACTGAACTAGAACTAGAACTGAACTAGAACTGAACTAGAACTGAACTAGAACTGAACTAGAACTGAACTAGAACTGAACTAGAACTGAACTAGAACTGAACTAGAACTGAACTAGAACTGAACTAGAACTGAACTAGAACTGAAGCTAGAACTGAACTAGAACTGAACTAGAACTGAAACTAGAACTGAACTAGAACTGACTAGAACTGAACTAGAACTGAACTAGAACTGAACTAGAACTGAACTAGAACTGAACTAGAACTGAACTAGAACTGAACTAGAACTGAACTAGAACTGAACTAGAACTGAACTAGAACTGAACTAGAACTGAACTAGAACTGAACTAAAGGAAACTAGAACTGAACTAGAACTGAACTAGAACTGAACTAGAACTGAACTAGAACTGAACTAGAACTGAACTAGAACTGAACTAGAACTGAAACTAGAACTGAACTAGAACTGAACTAGAACTGAACTAGAAACTGAACTAGAACTGAACTAGAACTGAACTAGAACTCGAACTAGACTGACTAGAACTGAATAGAACTGAACTAGAACTGAACTAGAACTGAACTAGAACTGAACTAGAACTACAGACTGAACTGAACTGAACTAGAACTGAACTAGAACTGAACTAGAGACTGAACTACTAGAACTGAACTAGAACTGAACTAGACTGAACTAGAACTGAACTAGAACTGAACTAGAACTGAACTAGAACTGAACTAGAACTGAACTAGAACTGAACTAGAACTGAACTAGAACTGAACTAGAACTGAACTAGAACTGAACTAGAACTGAACTAGAACTGAACTAGAACTGAACTAGAACTGAACTAGAACTGAACTAGAACTGAACTAGAACTGAACTAGAACTGAACTAGAACTGAACTAGAACTGAACTAGAACTGAACTAGAACTGAACTAGAACTGAACTAGAACTGAACTAGAACTGAACTAGAACTGAACTAGAACTGAACTAGAACTGAACTAGAACTGAACTAGAACTGAACTAGAACTGAACTAGAACTGAACTAGAACTGAACTAGAACTGAACTAGAACTGAACTAGAACTGAACTAGAACCTGAACTAGAACTGAACTAGAACTGAACTAGAACTGAACTAGAACTGAACTAGAACTGAAACTAGAACTGAACTAGAACTGAACTAGAACTGAACTAGAACTGAACTAGAACTGAACTAGAACTGAACTAGAACTGAACTAGAACTGAACTAGAACTGAACTAGAACTGAACTAGAACTGAACTAGAACTGAACTAGAACTGAACTAGAACTGACATAGAAACTGAACTAGAACTGAACTAGAACTGAACTAGAACTGAACTAGAACTGAACTAGAACTGAACTAGAACTGAACTAGAACTGAACTAGACTGAACTAGAACTGAACTAGAACTGAACTAGAACTGAACTAGAACTGAACTAGAACTGAACTAGAACTGAACTAGAACTGAACTAGAACTGAACTAGAACTGAACTAGAACTGAACTAGAACTGAACTAGAACTGAACTAGAACTGAACTAGAACTGAACTAGAACTGAACTAGAACTGAACTAGAACTGAACTAGAACTGAACTAGAACTGAACTAGAACTGAACTAGAACTGAACTAGAACTGAACTAGAACTGAACTAGAACTGAACTAGAACTGAATAGAACTGAACTAGAACTGAACTAGAACTGCAACTAGAACTGAACTAGAACTGAACTAGAACTGAACTAGAACTGAACTAGACTGAAACTAGAACTGAACTAGAACTGAACTAGAACTGAACTAGAACTGAACTAGAACTGAACTAGAACTGAACTAGAACTGAACTAGAACTGAACTAGAACTGAACTAGAACTGAACTAGAACTGAACTAGAACTGAACTAGAACTGAACTAGAACTGAACTAGAACTGAACTAGAACTGAACTAGAACTGAACTAGAACTGAACTAGAACTGAACTAGAACTGAACTAGAACTGAACTGAACTGAACTAGAACTGAACTAGAACTGAACTAGAACTGAACTAGAACTGAACTAGAACTGAACTAGAACTGAACTAGAACTGAACTAGAACTGAACTAGAACTGAACTGAACTGAACTAGAACTGAACTAGAACTGAACTAGAACTGAACTAGAACTGAACTAGAACTGAACTAGAACTGAACTAGAACTGAACTGGAACTGAACTAGAACTGAACTAGAACTGAACTAGAACTGAACTAGAACTGAACTAGAACTGAACTAGAACTGAACTAGAACTGAACTAAACTGAACTAGAAACTGAACTAGAACTAAACTGAACTAGAACTGAACTAGAACTAGAACAGACTGAACTAGAAACTGAACTAGAACTGAACTAGAACTGAACTAGAACTGAACTGGAACTGAACTAGAACTGAACTAGAACTGAACTAGAACTGAACTAGAACTGAACTAGAACTGAACTAGAACTGAACTAGAACTGAACTAGAACTGAACTAGAACTGAACTAGAACTAGAAACTGAACCTAGAACTGAACTAGAACTGAATTAGAAACTAGAACTGAACTAATTCTACCCAGTACCTTTTAAATCAATTAAAAATCACCAATTAATAATGGGTATTGTATAAATCTTTATTTACAGTAACCCTGTGTTTAAAATCTTTAAATCTAAATATATATGTAATGGTAACCAACTTTCCGCTCCACTCTCTTTATTCCTTACGTTTGGTGCGCATTTTCAAAGCCACATAAGCAGCAATACGAAAGATCAAAATTAACAAAATCAAACCCATATAATCGAAAGGTAAATTTGTCTCCGAAAAGTTTAGAGTCTCCAAAATAACTTTACCCGAACTGGGACAGGTGGTATTGGTAGAGGTGCAGGTAATTTCACCCGGTTGTACATCAGCCCATTGATTGATTAAAAGACCCTCGTTGGCATAGCGGAACCATGAGAAGTAGGATAACCATTTAAAGTACACAGGCACAGAACCGGAATTCAAGAAGAAACCACCGAATAGCAGGAAAGGTATGGTAACAGGAGGACCCCACCGATAAAGCCATGGAAGTGGAGGTACTGGCACAAGAAATCAAATAACCAAAGGAAGTGGAAACATTAGCCACCAGAGTAACCAATGCTAAGGCGCTAAGGAAATGGGTAATGCCAGGACGTAAACCAATCATGGGATAGGCAATGGCGATAAAAAGAAATGGTACCACTAAGAATAACGGCAATTCGGCTAAAGTTTTACCCAGAAAATAAGTATCACAACGATAGAGGCGACTTCGTGTTTCTCGCATAAAGACCGGTAGTTCAGAGGTGAAAACCTGCAACAGATTATATGAGATGAATAAATATTGCAAATTTTCGAAAATCTTGAAAACTTACATTGATTACAGCAAAAACATTTTGAAAAGTCATATTGGTGAGAAAGAGGAAAATGGCGCCATTGATGTTCATCACTCCCACTTGGGTCATAGGCTGATTTAAGAATATTAAACCAATTAAAACTGCAACCATCTGAAAAACAATAAGAAGGTTAGTTAGGCTCGGAAGAATACCCGATTCACGTTTTTACCGTAGTTTGTATCAAGCGCACTTTGACCAGCAACGGTTCCTTTAATGTTGATATCCAAGAACGCCACATAATCGCTCGAAACTGGGTAAACCAAGAGGCCTTGTAAAGTATGGTAGTTTCATCATCTTTCTGCAAACCATCAGTCTTGGCAGCAATCTTTTGGAAATTCTGTTCCATTTCCCGAGAAACTCTAAAAGTTGGTGAAAACATAAGTTTAAGAAAATGGATTGCTTCAAAAATTCAAACTACTGAACGTACTTTCCCACCGCAAAATTATCGCAAATTTTGAAATACGATCGCGAGATTCCATTTCTCGTCCGGGTACAACAGCCAAGACTTGGACATAGAAATCGGCTGGATTATAATTGGTAGGGCACTGGGCGCCAATGCTTAGAAAAATTTTAAAATTTAATATTAAAAAAATAGTAACATATTTATCCAAAACCCAACTTACAATGAGAAAAGTCTACCGCCTCGACAGGCGTACCTAAGAAAGCCACTCTACCTTCAGCCATCAATAAAATCTTATCGAATAGTTCATACAATTCCGAAGAAGGTTGATGTATAGTCAATATAACAGTTTTGCCACGCTGTGATAGTTTCTTCAAAACCTGCACCACACTCGCAGCCATAAACGAATCCAAACCCGAGGTGGGTTCATCACAAATCAAGAGCGGGGGATCGGTTAGTGCTTCCGAGGCGAATGCCAAACGTTTACGTTCACCCCCTGATAAACCTTTAACACGTCCAGGTACACCGATTATGGTATTTTGACATTTAATCAATGACAGATCCTGTATAACTTGATCGACTCTTTGTAGTTTTTGCTTCTGGGTCATAGTGCGTGGCATACGAACGGTAGCTTGAAAGATCAAATGTTCCCGTGCTGTAAGAGAGCCTATAAATAAATCGTCCTGTTGGACATAGGCACATCGGGCTTGCATTTCTTTGGCGTCTACGGGATGACCATTGAGCATGCGTACACTGGAGGGAGAGATTTGTACTCCTCGGGCTGAACGAAATGCTAAGGCATTTAGTAGAGTTGTTTTACCAGCTCCAGAACTACCCATTACTGCCAACAATTCTCCGGGATAGGCCACGCCACAGACTGTTAATGGCAACGAATTGTTAAGGAAAATAAGACCAATATTTCTTCTTTTATGATAAAAACTCACCATTCTTAATCAAGTGTTTACGAGGCTTGGGTATATGTCTTTCATTGCAGAATACACCTTTGACACGATTTACCAACTGCTTCCAATTCGAACCCGGTTGATGAACTTCCCCGAAAACATCTAGATTGCACCAGGAATATGTAAGCTTTTCGGAAGCGGACTCATTGGATACTAAAGAACCATAACTTTTGCTAAAACCGCTATTGATGGCCGATGCTTCAAGGGGTCCCGGAGTCTGAAAATTGAAAGAAAGAGGAAGTAAACAGAAATGTTAAAATTGTTTTTGTATGTTGTTGATTAACCCTGCATTGGCGAAGACTAGACTATAGACGTGGCCCACAGGCTAGACTATAGACACGACTACTATATAGACTAGACTATAGATCATACTATAGTCTAGAATATAGGCTAGACAATAGACTAGACTATAGACTAGACTATAGACTAGACTATAGACTAGACTATAGACTAGACTATAGACTAGACTATAGACTAGACTATAGACTAGACTATAGACTAGACTATAGACTAGACTATAGTCCAGACTATAGACTAGACTATAGACTAGACTATAGACTAGACTATAGACTAGACTATAGACTAGACTATAGACTAGACTATAGACTAGACTATAGACCAGACTATAGACTAGACTATAGACTAGACTATAGACTAGACTATAGACTAGACTATAGACTAGACTATAGACTAGACTATAGACTAGACTATAGACTAGACTATAGACTAGACTATAGACTAGACTATAGACTAGACTATAGACTAGACTATAGACTAGACTATAGACTAGACTATAGACTAGACTATAGACTAGACTATAGACTAGACTATAGACTAGACTATAGACTAGACTATAGACTAGACTATAGACTAGACTATAGACTAGACTATAGATCAGACTATAGACTAGACTATAGACTAGACTATAGACTAGACTATAGACTAGACTATAGACTAGACTATAGACTAGACTATAGACTACTATAGACTAGATAGACTAGACTATAGACTAGACTATAGACTAGACTATAGACTAGGACTATAGACTAGACTATAGACTAGACTATAGACTAGACTATAGACTAGACTATAGACTAGACTATAGACTAGACTATAGACTAGGACTATAGACTAGACTAATAGACTAGACTATAGACTATGACTAGACTAGACTATCGACTAGACTATAGCACTAGACTATAGACTAGACTATTAGGACTAGACTATAGACTAGACTATAGACTAGACTATAGACTAGACTATAGACTAGACTATAGACTAGACTATAGACTAGACTATAGACTAGACTATAGACTAGACTATAGACTAGACTATAGACTAGACTATAGACTAGACTATAGACTAGACTATAGACTAGACATAATATAGACTAGACTATAGACTAGACTATAGACTAGACTATAGACTAGACTATAGACTAGACTATAGACTAGACTATAGACTAGACTATAGACTAGACTATAGACTAGACTATAGACTAGCCTATAGACTAGGACTATAGACTAGACATAGACTAGACTATAGACTAGACTATAGACTAGACTATAGACTAGACTAGACTATAGACTAGACTATAGACTAGACTATAGACTAGACTATAGACTAGACTATAGACTAGACTATAGACAAGACAATAGACTAGACTATAGACAAGACTATAGACTAGACTATAGACTACTATAGACTAGACTATAGACTAGACTATAGACTAGACTATAGACTAGACTATAGACTAGACTATAGACTAGACTATAGACTAGACTATAGACTAGACTATAGACTAGACTATAGACTAACTATAGACTAGACTATAGACTAGACTATAGACTAGACTATAGACTAGACTATAGACTAGACTATAGACTAGACTATAGACTAGACTATAGACTAGACTATAGACTAGACTATAGACTAGACTATAGACTAGACTATAGACTAGACTATAGACTAGACTATAGACTAGACTATAAACTAGACTATAAACTAGACTATAGACAAGACTATAGACAAGACTATAGACTAGACTATAGATTAGACTATAGACTAGACTATAGAATAGACTATAGACTAGACTATAAACTAGACTATAGACTAGCCTATAGACTAGACTATAGACTAGACTATAGATTAGACTATAGACTAGACTATAGACTAGACTATAGACTAGACTATAGACTAGACTATAGACTAGACTATAGACTAGACTATAGACTAGACTATAGACTAGACTATAGACTAGACTATAGACTAGACTATAGACTAGACTATAGACTAGGCTATAGACTAGACTATAGACTAGACTATAGACTAGACTATAGACTAGACTAGATAGACTAGACTATAGACTAGACTATAGACTAGACCATAGACTAGACTAGACTGTAGAGTAGAGTATAGACTAGACTGTAGACTAGACTATAGACTAGACTATAGACTAGACTATAGACTAGACTATAGACTAGACTATAGACTAGACTATAGACTAGACTATAGACTAGACTATAGACTAGACTATAGACTAGACTATAGACTAGACTATAGACTAGACTATAGACTAGACTATAGACTAGACTATAGACTAGACTATAGACTAGACTATAGACTAGACTATAGACTAGACTATAGACTAGACTATAGACTAGACTATAGACTAGACTATAGACTAGACTATAGACTAGACTATAGACTAGACTATAGACTAGACTATAGACTAGACTATAGACTAGACTATAGACTAGACTATAGACTAGACTATAGACTAGACTATAGACTAGACTATAGACTAGACTATAGACTAGACTATAGACTAGACTATAGACTAGACTATAGACTAGACTATAGACTAGACTATAGACTAGACTATAGACTAGACTATAGACTAGACTATAGACTAGACTATAGACTAGACTATAGACTAGACTATAGACTAGATTATACATTGGAATTTAGGCTGACAATTGTACAAAATTCAGTTGTCCTAAGAACTCAAAGTTATTGACCGTAGACTGAGTTTTAGAGGATTTGAATGAAAACCACGGCTTTGACTGTAAAGTCTACTTTTTGACATTCAAAGAAACAGATGGTGAAGTATGTAAACAATTATTTATCATGGTTAAATTAAAATAATAAAGATTGGTATTCTAATAACACATTTTCGGTTTATATACATATGTATGTCTGTAGAATATAATTTTCATAATTTTTATAATGCATTTTATCAGCGATGCTGAGATTTATTAAACAAATACTGTAAAAGAATACCTTTATGTACGTATGTATGTAAATAAATAAATATTTAAATATAGAAAAAAATCTAGATAATTTTAAAATAAATGAAATTCGTAACAAAAATTATCAGACAGATAGATATTTTCGACATGCATATGCATATGAGAACAATGACAGATTAAATGAACAACAAACAATATTTTGTTGTTGTTTGTTGTTTTTTATTTATTTATATTTGATGAATTTAAATTTCAAAATTTAACAGAAATACACAAGTGTATTATGTACATATATGTATGTACATTAGGGTGGCACTGCTGGTATGTAAAAAAAGGTAATCATGTTCCCATCGAAAATAAAAACTTGGTTCATTCTAAGATATTCAAAATTTGGTTAACTGGATTAATTGCTAAAAATTTCTTTTTTGAGCTTTTTATGATTTTTCCAAATTTCTTACAAAGAAAATATACGCAATTTTGGTATTATATGAAATAAAATAGACAAATTAACCTTTCCAATGGTATATAACATGCCAATTAAAATCTCAAAATCATTCATTTAACATAAAAAGGAAGTATGTGTATGTAACTTCTTTTCATAAGGTGTGTACTAAATGACCAATATTTTGAGCATTATGGTGATTTAGGAAATCTCTTATAATTTAACCACGTTTCACATGATTTAGATTGAAATTTCAATAATCTAAAAAAACACAACATTTCCTCATAATAAATACCTAACAAGATATCACCAACATTTCTTAAAATATTCTATCATTATTATTAAGAGTGTGCTTGTCTGTACATGCGGGTGCAATGATGTATGTGCGTATAATGATGCATTTGTATTAGAATATCTCAAAAATGGGAAAAATGTGAAAAAACGAAACCATTTTGTTTATTTCTCAGTATGTACTAGTCTATAAAGTATAGAGTATTCTATTACGGACAAAGTACAGAGTAAAAAAAATAAAAACAATAATAAAAATAACAGTTAAATAATAATAACAACAAAACAATCTCAATAGATTGTACAATAGAATCACATTTACAGTCGTCAGTCAGAGTTGTACTATGTTTAACAAAGCATTATTTACCGACCACAAAGTAACCTCATTTTTGTTCTTATTGTTGTTGTTTTATTTAGCTCCCTCTCCCTATGTTGTTATCTTTTATTCGAGATGAATGTGTGTGTGTGTGTTCTATGGAAGTTAGAGCATGTTGGAGCTCATCTTTTATGTATGTACATATGTATGTATGTCTTGTCTGTCTAACTGCATACTTATGAATGTATGTATGTATGTAGGTGCATAATCTAATTTATTTGTAGGGATGTGAAGTGTAATCTGTATGTATGTTGGAGTATGTTTGTACATATATATATAATTTTCATTTTTTTTCTTTTGCGTTTGTTATTCGTTTGCCTACAATTGTATTTTTTTCGCTTCAATACTCAACATTGTGTCCATTACTTCTTGTTTTGTTTTTTATTTTCGTATACCCTACACCTCTGGCATTATGCTTCCGTATTGATGTTTGTAACTTACAAATATATTAGTCTTACACCCGCTTTAAAGTTTAGTAATCTACCCAAAATCTTCTTTCTAAATCTAAATAAAAATGTCCGTCCGTCTGTCCTTGTTTGGAGTTTTCTCAGAATCTATATTGTATAATGCAGCATATTTTATATGTGTACATACATATATCCTCCCAATTTACATATTCTTTACAAAGATAAGTTATACTCTATTGTAGGGCATTTTTTCGTGTGTTGTCATTATATTCTTGTACAATTGTAGTTTTTATTTATTTCACTATAGTGGGTGGATTAGTAAGTTGCCATTGAGACAGAAGGTTTATAATTATTGCATAATTTTTAGAAAGAATTTCATTTTTATCTGCGAATATTTTTTATTGTTCTTGTCAAGGTCTTATGTATCTAGATAATGTAGAAATGCTATTTTTATTTTATTTATGCAAT